ATCGTGTACTTCTACACTTCCTGGGTAAAATCCCACTTTTGTTCAGTGTAAATTAACACTACTTTGGAAAAGTTGTAATTTTAGAAAGGTACTTTTACTCTTTTAGTGCAAACTTCTAGTGTAAATTAACACTATTATTTGAGTAAAACCTATTGGTGGTAGTGAATAAAACGAAAAGGTAAATAAAGAGGAACATTTATTTGGAACAAAAACCTATGACAATTATCAAAATCGGTGCCTTTTAAAATATAATTTTATATTTGAGTCGTATGGCTGGCTTAAGCAAAATGATTCTTTAAAACGTAAAAGTTTTAGATCAATGCAATGTTTTACTGGCTGTCAACTTGTAAGCAATGAATTATCTTGAGAATTCATCAGTAATCCATTTTTCTGTTATAAAAAATGGGTGATTCCATTGGTAGAGAGGCGTCAGGCGGCTGTATGTCGGGGATTTACCACACGTATACAAATTTTCCATAATATTAATAAAAATGTAGGTATAGGTTAATATAACAACCGTTACGCTTGAAAATAAAAAGTAAATCAAGTGTGTATGTATTTATATTATTAATGTTACAAGTACCCGACCTACTGCCGTAAATTATTGATATATAATATAGGTCGGGTATGGACATCCTTTTAACATATTAGTATTTATTGAGTATTAAGGCTTAAAAAAAAGAAAGTATAATACTTACCAAAAAATAAGAATGTCTCCTTAAGGATTCACCGTAATTAAAATCTAACAACAAAAATGCCACACTTCCACAACGCGGTATCTCCGGATATGCACTGCGTATACGTATCTATAGGTAGATAGGTACCAACCAAACATTTTTAAACGCATTTCGGTTATTCAGTCTATTTGTCACTATTGGTATAATTTAACTTTAATTGTGATACAATGTGCACTAGTAGTGTAAAGAAAAAAGAGCTCTTAGTAACATCAAAACAGACAAATAAATTGGCATGCAATGTAGTGTACATTTTGTCACTATTTAACACATTAAGGGGTAATAAACACTCGCATTAAGTTTTTCTACCCTTTTGATTTATTTTAATAATAAATAGTGTGAATGTACCAATGAATAATGTTCATATTCTTTAAATGTGTTTAATAAAGTTATTAAGCACTAAATGCTACCTAGTGTATTTTGTAGTGTAACTTTTACACTTACAAATCAACTTTAATATTTTTGTGTGTTACTTGGGGAGTCTACTACTGGACATGCACCTGTATTTGCACCATTCAGCAGCGAATTTCACCGATGCCGGCTATGAAAAAGGATGGTTGTGGCATTCAGTAAGCTCGTGATGGAGTAGCTCCTAATTGGGTTAAATAGTGGATGCATTTGCTGCCGTGCAAACGCCGAATGCTGATTTAATCTGGACGTGATTCCACAGCTCATCACTGATGCAAGTTTATCTCCCAGTTAACATACCTTCGAAGGTATGATCCAGTGGCGGCTCGTGGTTGTATAGGAGGGAGAGGCTACATGAGGTTAATTTTGTCTTAATAAGAATAAATTTCGAAACTAGTATCAGTGAAGATCAGAAGGTTTTGAATAAAGCAATACATACTATTGGAACAAGAGATATTTGCTCTAAAATCAAAATAAAATGTGGTTAGGTCAATGTATATGCTTTTGTAGCAAGACAAATTTTCTTTCTTAGAAAGTTCCTAAGCTTCTCAATTAAGAGATGCAGTTTTCTTGTTAAAATCACATTTTTTTGCGCTAAAAACGTTTCCTTCATTCAAAAGAGCTTAGATAAATCTCTACCCTCAAGTAATTTAAAAAAATGTATTTAATGATAGTTTCTGATTTAGATTAAGAAACATTTCATTTCTTTTAAGAGATTATTTTTTTCAGTGTAGATTTTTATAACTATGTTATCTTTTTTGAATGATTTTAAATATACCTACCAGGTTTTTTTTAACGATTGTTTGATATTTTATTCATTGTACAATCTTAGCCAACCGATATAGAGCATAAAATTCGCAATAAAATATTGATAACTCCCCTGATCAAAATAACATACTTATCCATAATTATATGTGTAAGGTATATTTTAAATATTTAACAATTCCTCTACATTACACATAAACGTAACACGTAATAAAGAAATAATCACAACATTCATTCAACAGGATGTTCTGAAGTACACTCACAGGCAAAATAATCCATCCACACAAATTTTCGATGAAGTTCAATCGCAAATACCTTTTTAATTTGATGTCGGATTTAAACGAATATTAAAGAATATTGTAGATAAATTAATGGACAATCGCTCACAAAAAATTACTCAAAAATAGACGTACGTTTATAATATACAGGTTTAAACAAAAAGATGTTTTTTACCATAATTTTAAGACACCCTGTAGAGTGGCAGAACCGTATATTGTTTTATTTATCAAGTCACATCTATTCTTAACAGTTTTGTTTTTGGTTCACCTCGATATATTTATTTTTGTGGAAAATATGGATTTTTTTAAAAAACATTGCAATATCCAATATTTTTCTGTATGAAGAACTAAGGTTGCTATGGTCCATCCATAGGCTATGGAGAATGACAGTGACAGTTTTGTTGAATCATCCCATACTTGGACATGTCATACACGGCTTTCAAAAGCTATAAAATTGTTTTTTGCAAATTAATGTTTAAAATTACGTGGCAAGTGTTTTAAACGTCACAAGAAGTAAAGTACCTACAAAGGGCAACATCAGTCGGATTGATACCTTTTGAAAGCTGTATATGACATGTCCAAGTATGGGATGATTCAACAAAACTGTCACTGTCATCCTCCATAGGCTATGGAAGGACCATAGCAACCTTAGTTCTTCATACAGGAAAAATATCGGAAATTGCAATGTTTTTTTTTTTAAATTCATATTTTACACAAAAATAAATATATCAAGGTGAACCAAAAACAAAACTGTTAAAAATAGATGTGACTTGACAATTAAAACTTAATTTAGAACAATATACGGTTTTGCCACTCTGCAGAGTGTCTTAAACTTATGGTAAAAAACATATTTTTGTTTAAACCTGTATATTATAAACGTACGTGTATTTTTTAGTAATTTTTAAAATGTGAGCGATTCTCCATTAATGTACCTACAATATTCTTTAATATTTGTTTAAATCCGAAATCAAATAAAAAAGTTATTTGCGATTGAATTTCATCGAAAATTTGTGGCGATCGATTATTTTGCCTGTGAATGTATTATGTGGAGTTTTCAATAATCCAATTTGCAGAATCCCCGTAGGATACTGTCAAGGACGACACGACCATCGAAAGACAATAGATTGATGTACGGATACTTGATAATGCTATAACGAGGTATTGTAAAGGATCAAATGTAGAGTAATTGTGATATACCACGTAGAGGATACCTACCTGCCTTACTTACCTTTCTCACCTTGCCACTGATCTACTTAAAGTTATATAAGAGATCTTCGGAGATGATCTCCATAAGTAAAAGGATGAACTTTCATAAAAATGATAATATTTTTTTATTTGGATTATAACAAGCAAATATTTAAATAATTTAGAACCGAATATAAATATTTTAATTTATTAAATTATAAATATTTACAAAGTTGGCACCACAGACCTGTGGTCCAGGTCTGTGGTTGGCACTAACGCTTGGAAGGTACTTAAACTGGATCCAAAAAAATAATTAAAAAGTATGTTATTGTTACTTAGGTACTGTTTGTTTTTGTGATTGATGATTGGTTTAGATAAGTAACAAAAAATTTAATAGCAATGTTCTTGATAAGTCAAACTAAATTAAGGCCCACAGACGCCACATTTATTATCATGTAGTGTAATCTTAAAAAGGTTGTGAAAATGCCATTTTATAGAATTACATTTCTATTAACAACTGAAAACCATAGATGAAAGGATAATTGCATAGTTCCAGAGAATGTAATTGAAATTATACAACCAACAATACTTCAAAAGCAAGCTCTACATCTACCTTCAAATACTTTGTTCTGAAATAAAAAACAATATGAATATAGGTATCTTCATTTATTAAAATTATATAAGTAAAATATTTTTATCTACTCCTACATTGACGAGCTGTAACTTTATGGCGTTTTATTGACGGGCTGAAGTTAACAACAGTGGCTTTTCGACATTGTACGTCACGGGCTGAAGTTAGCTTTATTATAAATTGGGAAAAAGTGAGGTTAAATTCGGGTGACAGTTGACAGATGTCAAAATTTTAACAAATAAAATTGGCTTTAAATTCTGTTGTGTGTTCGTCGTAGATAAAGTATAGTATGCAACTCGTTTATAAACTTCTCTAGACACTCGTTATTATTAAACGCTCGCTCGCAAGCTTCGCTCGTGCTTAATTAAACTCGTAACTAAAATGGCGTTTATAAAACTTGATACATAATATACTATTTTGCGTTTATAATGATACTTTATCCCACCCAAAATTTTACAGGTTGGCTATACTTTAAACAGCATATTTAATATTTTGCATATTGCTTATAATATTTTTATGATTTTTCTAGTACTTACGAGACTTTTCTGGCAATAAATTTTGTTTAACGCCAAAGAAAATCCTTTTTTTCTTCTTTAACATTAACAGCCGCTTATTGTAAATAAGTAAATTAAGGACGGCATGGCGAATCGATTTTGACATTAACTGTCAAATCAATGACTGTGATACCAACTCTCTAAAGTAAAATTTGACCAAATTAAATTTAATGTATAAAATTATTTTTTTATAGATAAAATAGCATTATTTCTATCAACAAATGAAAACCATAGATGAAAGGATAATTGCATAGTACCAGAGTATGTTTGAAATTATAAAACCAACAATACTTAAAAGCAAGCTGTACAATCTACCTTCAAATACTTTGTTCTGAAATAAAAAACATAGAAATAAACAATATGAATATATATATACCTATAGGTATGTTAATTTATTAAAATTATATAAGTTAAATATTTGTATTTACAAAGTTTATTATAAAACTTAAATGGCTGCTGGATAAGGACCAGTTGGTACTGGAACAGCAGCTGGGTAAGGACCAGTTGGTACTGTAAGTGCAGCTGGATAGTGACCTGTTGGTACTACAAATGAAGCTGGATATGGACCAGTGGGTACTTTAATAACTTCTGAAACAATGGGAGCTGGAGATGGATAGGGACCAGTTGGTACTTCAACTGGAACTGGGGCTGGGTAAGGACCAGTTGGTACTTCCACAGTCTCTGGTACGGGAGCTGCAGCTGGGTAAGGTCCAGTTGGTACTACAAATAGAGCTGGATATGGACCAGTGGGTACCTGGACAACTTCCAAAACAATTGGTGCTGGAGCTGGATTGGGAACAGATGGTACTTCAACTGGAACCGAAGCTGGGTAAGGACCAGTTTGCCCTGCAACTGGAACTGGGGCAAGGTAGGGAGCAGCTGGCACTTCTACTGGAACTTGAGCTGAATAAGGACCAGTTGGTACTTCAACTGGAACTGAAGCTGGGTAAGGACCACTTGGTACTTCAACTGGAACTGAAGCTGGGTAGGGACCAGTTGATACTTCGACAGTTTCTGGTACTGGGACTGCAGCTGGGTAAGGTCCAGTTGGTACTTCAACTGGTACTGGAGCTGGGTAAGGACCATTTGGTATCTGGACAACTTCTGGAACAATTGGGGCCGGAGCTGGATAGGGAACAGATGGTACTTCCACTGGAACTGGAGCTGGGTAGGGACCAGTTGGTAGTTCAACTACTTCAGGTACTACTGGAGCTGCAGCTGGGTACTGACCAGTCGGTACTTCAACTGGAGCTGGATATGGAGCAGTTGGTACGGCCACTTCTGGTACTACTGGAACTGGAGCTGGATATGGGCCAGTTGGCACTTCAACTTGAGCTGGATATGGGCCAGTGGGTACTGCAATCTCTGGTACGACTGGGACCGCAGCTGGATACGGCCCTGTTTGTACGGGTAAAGCTGCTGGGTACAGTCCTGATGGAGCAGCGTACATTTTACCGAAAAGAGCGGCAAAGGCGAGGGCTGGAAAAATCTTCATCTAAAAAATATTAAAAATATTTTTAAAATAATGTTTTTATTATGTTATTGTTACTTACTGTTTGATTGTGTTTTTAAAGTGAACTGTATTGATTTTAAATATTTTTTTGCTTTATATACGTAAAAAAAATTAAAAAGCATTTAGAAAGGTCTTGATTGTAATCAAACCAGTGTAATTAAAAAATATTAAGCTTGGTTGACAACTATAGATAATGAAGAACTTTACCAATAAAAAAAGATTACAATCTTTACAAAATAACTGTTTTATATGGAACGTATTTTCATTATTTAATCGAACAACTTTATAGTAACCAAAAAATTCAACAAACTTGTAACTTCGTGTTATTTCATTGTTTGAAATTCATGCTAGATGCAAAAATAATTTCAAAGTAGGTATTAAATTCGCTGTATTTTAATGTTTAAATTAAACTGATTGGTAAAGAAAATGGACGAGTGCGACAAAAGGTCTTATGACATGAGTTCTTTATGCTATTTTATCTATTTTGCAAAAATTCTATAATTTAAATTTAATTTGGTCGAATTTTACTTTAGATAGTTGGTATCACAGTCATTGGTTTGACAGTTAATGTCAAAATCGATTCGCCATGCCGTCCTTAATTTACTTATTTACAATAAGCGGCTGTTAATGTTAAAGAAGAAAAAAAGGATTTACTTTGGTGTTAAACAAGATTTATTGCCAGAAAAGTCTCGTAAGTACTAGAAAAATCATAAAAATATTATAACCAATATGCAAAATAGTATGCTGTTTAAAGTATAGCTAACCTATAAAATCAAAATTTTTGGTGGGATAAAGTATCTCATTACAGCACCGAAAGCGGTGTTATATTGAAGGTATTATGAACGCAAAATAGATACAATTAATTTAAAAATCTGACACTTTGGGAGTACTTTCAGAAGAGTAAAAAAGTAAGAAAAAAAATATGTTTTTTTTTTACCTTTTTCTGATTTTTTCTGTTCTTTTTAAGTGGTCGGGGCTCAGGTTAAAAATTAAGTGAAAAATCTTAAACTTAGGAAGTACCTTCAGAAGAGTCAAAAAATAAAAAAAACTCGTTTGAAAAAAGTTTTACTTACCTTTTTCGTTACATAGTTTTAACCATTAAATATTTCCAAAATAAATTCATCTCTAATTTAATATTTATAAGTACCTAGTTGTTATAAAAAAAATATCAAATATATTTGATATTTTTTTTGGTGTTAAAAAAATCAAAAACAATTTACAAATATGACCAATCTGCCTAATAATTATTACAGGCTGTTAATTGATTTGCTTATAATAATAATTCAACAGCAACATAAGTACAAAAACTTTTTTTGGACATCGTAGGAAGACTTCTGAGATTACACACACCAACTTTTTACGGAGAAAATTACCGCTTATTAGTCAATTAAAGTAGGTATTGCTAAATTATAATGATTAAATTCAATATTAGCAAATTATATGCCTTATAAGGTACCTCATGGTACACCTACGATATGAATTAGCTAAATAAATATAATATACTTAGTTAAATTGCAACCAATATGTTATGGAGATAAAAGAGCCTATATATATATATTTGAAAAATAATTTTTTGTATCATTTTACTTCTATTTATATAGATTTTCTTTGTTTACAGGGTAACTGTATATTTCAAAACTTTGCAAAAACCATAACATAAGTTATTATAAAATAAATAAACTTGCACTGTTTTATTGCAAACCATATGCAAAACCAAACCAATGCATTGTTTGGTATTATTGATGGCAAAAGGAATGTTGGCCTATCCACACAATTAAATGTAGGATAGTGCTCATATTTTACATACAATTTGAATATAATTAACTTAACTTAACAGGCATTTAATCATATTTTAAAACAAGGCATTGAAATGCATTAAAATATTAACAAGATAATTACAATAGCGGAGGAATTCGAAGAATCCATCGCCAAATATGCATGGGTGTATTGGACATGGTACCATGAGTTTTAGGGTTATCAGGGATCTTAAGTACGGTAACTACAATACGTGTAGGTATCTGTCGATCCATTCGGAAATCCATTATTTTCGACGATTTTCTTGCTCAATTTTCCTTCGGTATTGTTTTTGTTCAAATACAATGTACGAAATATGAGTTCACAAGATGTTTTTTGGTTGCTTCATAAGAAACTAGTAGCTTAAGGTCATGTGCTAAAAATTGAAAAATAAGAACATAACAGTATATATTTTTTTTATTTTGATTTTTTTTTGAAAATTATATTAAAAATTGTTCTTCTATTTTTCATATTTTTACAAATGTGCGATTTTTCCACAATTTTTTAATTTTGAACCAATGTGCAAATTTCTCCTACTTTTTTTAACTTTGAACCACCGTGCGATTTTGTCCTACCATTTTTAAATGCATGCAAGCTCTCATAAATTGAATTATTAAAATATTGTGCAAACATATTATCCTTGTTGTTATAAAATCAATAATAAATCAATTAACAAACCTTATATTATTATTAAATCCTTTAAAGGGAACCCATAAATCAAAGCAAAAAAATTAATAATAGTGCTAGTCCCACAGATATAATTCTTGCAAGAAAGAAAAAAATGTTTAATAATGGAATTTGACCTTACAATTCGGATACTAGATGCATGTAAAACGAATTCGGGGGTAAGGTGTGAACCTATCTTGGTACATCTGGAGATGACCCACTCTTAAAGGGGGAGACCTTTATATAAACAACAAGAAAAGCATTGTCAATGTTAAGTTTTGTTTCATTCTTTGAATTAATTGTTTAATTATCGTGTCTGTATTTTGGAAAAATGATCGTGGTAAGTTAAATTTTTATTTATAGGGTTTTACAAATTTTTTTGCTAGACGTTTCATACCCCATACTTTAATTTCTTGTTTTTAAATTTGGATATTATTTATTTGTTTTTTTTTTCTACTCCCACCTTTAAAACGCCCTTTATCGTACATGTTTCCATGACACTAAGTGACCTTTTAAATACACATTGACAAGTTGTGGCTTTATGGCGCTTTAGTCACGGGCTGAAGTTAGCAACAGGTTTTTAGTCACGGGCTGAAGTTAGTTTTAAGTTAGTTGACAGTTGTCAAATGTCACACAATCGTTAAAATAAATTGCCTTTCTTGTAAAATAATACTAAATGTGAAAATTATTTTATTATATCAATACAAAAATACAAAAGTAAACAGTAAACTATAACTTAAAATCGGGCACTTCACTGTAAAGTGCTCATAAAACATTTTCTTGTGAAACTGTGAAAAACTGTCAATTTTCAAGAAATACATTTCGATTCATAACCTTTATAATTGTGTTTATAAAATGTATAAATTTGACATTTGACGGAGACACACAGATTCCCCTATTGTTTCATAGATGGAGATAATTCAAAAAATATAAAGTCATAATTTCTTATTTTTAGCACGTATTAAGCTGTCTTCTAGCTGCTTGCCTAGCCGCCCCCCAGAACTACTACCAACAACCCCAGTACTCCGGAAAACCAGTCGTACCAATCACCTCTGAAACCAACGAGCAAAACCCAGACGGTTCATTCAGCTACAGGTAAAAAAACACATCCAAAACGAATTAAATTAACAGCAAAAACATTTAGTTACTCCACCGGAGATGGCCAACAAGCACAAGCGCAAGGATACCTGAAAAACGCCGGGAATAAAGAAACTGAAGCTGAGGTTATACAGGGCTCATACTCTTACACAGCTCCAGATGGCACCCCCATTACTGTGAACTGGATTGCTGACGAGAACGGCTTCAGAGCAGAAGGTAAAAATGCAGTAAAATATTTTTAATAAACATTATATAATATTTATTTGTTTAGGTGCCCATATTCCCACCCCTCCACCAGTGCCAGAAGCTATTCAACGATCTTTGCAGCTGATTTCGCAAACTCAAAGAAACCAACCGCAGGAATATCAACAACAATACCAACCAAGAGCACCGCAGTACAAAAGACCGTTTAGATTCTAATTGATTGTGTTATTTATAACGAAAGAATAATAAAAGTACTCCAAAACGTTTTTACTTATTCTATTCCTTTGATAAAAAAGGTTTCTTATTCAAAGTTCTATTCACATAAACGCCATTTTAAGGCAAATAAACTACAGCATTGTATATTGGGTTGCCTAAAACTGGCGTCCTGATGAATTTTCGACACGTCAACCACTTGACACATGCGCACTCCTCATAAACCGTACGTGTCATTTAGTAATGTGCCGGTGATTTGTTTTTAAGGGAAATAATGTCCAAAATATCTCTATTAGGTAATAATCAATTAAACCCAATAAATCCTTACATATTTAACGTTATAATATCTTTCAGCGGTTTTTATTGTAAGCATAATAACCTTAGAATGCTCCCAAGCAAGTGTGGGAGGTTACTTTTCTGAAAACGATGCAAAAAAATTCACTGATATCTTGAATAACGGGCTTAAACAGCAGGAAGATGTAACGAATTATTATCACGCCGCCAGGGGGCTTAGTCTGCTGAAAAAACCCATTGATGTGGCTTTATCGAAAAACGCTTGCAGCTTTTTGCAGAAGTCTTTTAAGGAGGGTACCCCCGAGGCGACTTTTAAGGTCTTAAATGCTTGGATTTTGTTGAAGTGCGGCGGGAAGTTGCACAATGAAGCCCAAGTAAAGGTACTGTGTAGATTTTTTGTCATTTGGCAGTTTCTTTATAGTGTTTTTTAGAACATTAAGGCTGTATTGGAGGATAAGGCTTCCAGTACTGAGTCGGTTCGTTATGCTCTTGAAGTGTTGGCAACTATTGGTGAATCTGTACCTAATGCCGGCAAAATTGCCAAAAATATCCAGGACAAACTGAGGGAAGATGATAGTTTGCCAAGTTTAGGTCATGCTTTACATGCTGGTGTTTTATTGGGTAATGAAGGTAAATTTGTGGCTGATAGGATTCAAGAAATCGTCGTGCAAGCTGATGAGGTAAGAAAAATATACATCTTATATATTTATAAGAAAACAATTAAATTTAACAAACTAAACAACACAAATAAACTAGTATCTAATGGATTTAACATTTAAAAAGTGTATTTATGTAATATATAAAAGGATTAAACATAATTTTTTATAGTAACATAGATATGAAGGTTTAAATTTTTTTTTTTTTTTATACAATCTGTCATTAAATAGTTTCATCTGTTACAGTTTTGGTCATTTATGACAGTTCCTATACAAACTTTTATTTTAGATAGTTTTAGCCTAAAACATTTAGGGACTGTTTAGACAGTTCTAATGCAGTTTAGACAGTGTTTGGTTGTTTTGGAAAGTTCTAGTGTAGATTGGACAGTTTTTGGTTATTTTTGACAGTTCTTTTACAATATTGGGTAATTTTAAATCATTTTAGGACATTTTTGTCCATTTTAGACAGTTTGGATGTTTTCACAGTTCCTCTACAACTTTTGTCATTTTAGATAGCTTAGGAACTTTTTAGACACTTTTGGTCATTTTTGACAGTTCTTATACAGTTTTAGTAAATTTTTTGTTTTGACAGTTCCTCTACAACTTTTGTCATTTTAGATATTTTAGGGACATTTTAGACAGTTTTGGTCATTTTTGACAGTTCTTTACAGTTTAGGACATTTTTCATCCATTTTGGACAGTTCTTAATACAGAAAAGTTTGGACAGTTCCTTTACAACTTTTGTCATTTTAGACAGTTTTGGTAGTTTTTGACAGTTTTCAGACATTTTTTGTTCATTTTAGACAATTCTAAATACTGATACATTTTTACAGTTCCTCTACAACTTTTGTCATTTTAGATAGTTTAGGGACATTTTAGACAGTTTTTGGTTTTTGGACAGTTCTAATACAGTTTTATTTAAGATAGTTTTAGGACATTTTTTGTCCATTTTAGACAGTTCTTAATACAGATAAGATTTGACAGTTTTGGTCATTTTTGACAGTTTTTACACATTTTTTGTTTATTTTAGACAATTCTAAATACTGATAAATTTTGACAGTTCCTCTACATCTTTTGTCATTTTAGATAGTTTAGGGACATTTTAGACAGTTTTGGTAGTTTTTGACTGTTATTATACAGTTTTAGGACATTTTTTGTCCATTTTAGACAGTTATAATACAGTTTGGATAAGTTTTGACAGTTCCTCTACTACTTTTGTCATTTTAGATAGTTTAGGGATATTTTAAACAGTTTTGGTCATTTTTGACAGTTCCTATACAGTTTTAGTAAATTTTAGACAGTTCTGATACAGTTTGGATACGTTTTGACAGTTCTACTACTTTTGTAATTTTAGATAGTTTAGAGACATTTTAGACAGTTTTTGGTTGTTTTTGACAGTTCTTATACCGTTTGAGTTTTGACAGTTCCTCTACAACTGTAGTCATTTTTGATATTTTGGGGACATTTTAGACCGTTTTTGGTTATTTTTGACAGTTCTTACACAGGTCATTTTAGATAGTTTTAGGAAATTGTTTGTCCATTTTAGACAGTTCTAATACAGTTTGGATTTTTGACAGTTCCTCTACAACTTTTATCATTTTCGATAGTTTAGGAACATTTTAGACAGTTTTTGGTTGTTTAGGACAGTTCTTATACAGTTTGGGCAATTTTAGATAGTTTTAGGACATTTTTGTCCATTTAAGACAGTTCTAATACAGTTTGTACAAGTTAAGACAGTTTTTGGTTGTTTTGAACATTTCTTATACAGTTTGGTTCACTTTAGATTTTTGTTCATTTTAGACCGTTCTAATACAGTTTTATCATTTTAGATAGTTTTTTGTTGTTTTGGACAGTTCTTATATAGTTTGGGCAATTTTAGACAGTTTTTGGTCACATTTCTTATACAGATTGGTCACTTTAGACAGTTCTTATAAAAAATGGGTTATTTTAGATAATTTAAAGACATTTTAGGACAGTTTTTGGCCATTTTAGACAGTTGTAATTTAAGAAATTTTAGAATTGTTTAAAATGAGCCTAAACCATTAAACATTCAAAAATAGTTCTTATAAGGTTATTTTAGACAGTTTTGAGATATTTTTGACCAATTCTAAGATAGTATTAGGCCTTATACAAAGAATAGTGATAGATAATCTTGAGTGTAATACTATACTTTATTTTCTCCAATTAGTAGATAAGTATTTAAATGATTTACAAAATTTAAAACCTGATTGGTTCAAATCACATTGAATATTATTGTTTATTATTCCCGTTGTTAGGCGGGGCGGTTATAATGGTTATCATTATATACGGAAAAACACCAATATTAAAGACCTTATAAAATGAAAAAAATATTAAATGAAAACTAAAAAAACGTTTTAATTATGTCAAAAAAACATAGTATTAATAAACTTGTTTTTTTTTCACAGATTGATGGTAAATTGTTGCAATGGGAAGGCGGATTGACCACCACCTCCCTAATCATCACAGGTTTAATGCGTAATTCGGCTGCCGGACAACATTTGAATCAAAAACAAGTGGACAAACTAGCGAATTACTTGCTATCGAGAAAAACCGTGCCCTCGCCCAAGGGAGTATGGGCTCTTCTGGAAGCGGCCGAGGCCCTCAACTCTTACGCCTTGTTCCCGGTCTGCATAACAATCGACGGCGAACCGTTCGTGACGGCGGAAAAACCCGACCTAAAGATACGCGTGTCGAATTTGTTCGGTGGGGCCGTCAGAAGCAAAACCTCCGTAACCCCCGTGGTGGCGCAGTCGGCCACCAGGATTTCCGACGACGTCGTTGTTCTATCGAAACAAAGTTTAAACCCCGGCACCACGCAAACAGAATTTATCTTGCCCTTGAAGTTGACCCCCGGCCACTACAGAATCCAGCTGACGGCCGGAAGCAACACGCAGTCCGTTGAAAGTAGAGTATTGGGACCCATCGCAGTGCAAAGTCTCGAAATAGGGTTGATGGACGCCGACGGTAGCTCCGCCCCCAAACTCAACAAACTGCAACATCCGCAAAAACTAACCTCAATTTTGCAAGGCGACTCCAGCCAGCATTTGGTGGTCAAATTCACTTTATCCCGCAGCGTGCACCAAGCTTTCATCAGATTATCGTCACAGAACAAAGAGATAATCTTCGTCGGCGAGGAGGAAGCCGGTAAGTTGTACAAAGTGGAGATCAACTTGGGCAACGAGCTCTCGCAATCGGGCGACTTCGACATCGAGTTGATCCTGGGGGATTCCCTGGCCACCAACTCCATCAGATGGAACCTGGGGGTTATATCGGTATCCCTCCCGTCGGCATCGCTTTCCGCCAAAACCGCCAGAGGCCCCAAACCCGAGATAAACCACCTGTTCAGAGTCGCCGACAAACGCCCTGCAGAAGTGGTCTCTCTTCTATTCACCGCTCTAACTTTGTCGCCAATTCTACTACTGCTGATTCTTTGGGCCAGAATTGGAGTCAACATGGGCAACTTCTCAGTTCTAGCCGTTCCGTTTCATTTGGGTTTCGGCGGTATCTTGGCGCTCTTCACTTTGTTCTGGTTGAAGTTGAACATGTTTACCACGTGCGCTTGGTTGATTCCCATCGGCGGTTTCACGCTGTTCTTCGGTCACAAGTTGTTGAGCAGCATTGCCAGCGGCAAAAAACCAGAGAAGGCTGATAAATAAGTTTTTGTTGATCGTTTTGTTTTCATTTGTGTGTGATTTTCGACATCCAACACCTCACCTCTATTGTATGTATGAACTAGTAAATACATGTGATTTTTGTAATAAATTATTATTAAAAACAACGATTTTTCTTTTAAAATCCCTTTCTCTCTACATAACTGATTACAAATAACTAGAAACGCAACTCGAACTCTCACATTACGGAGATTTCGATATTATCAAGTCGATCGTAGGAGATTCCCACAAAACCTAAAACTCCCAAGCTACCAACTCTATTAAATGAAATCCTAGCAAAATCGAACTATAATGTGATATAAAGTATTTTCGCGTACCTTTTGTTCTCAAAGTATAGAGTATTGCTCGAAATAAGATACTGTATCTGTAAAATAGAGACCACATTTTGAAATTTTAGTAGATTTAGAAATCTCAGTGCACACCTTCAACTTTCTTGCAGTGCTGCGAACAAAACCAGTGCTGCCAACGAGTAATATCAAAAATTCACAAAAGTAGATAAAAATGTAACCTAACCTAACATTTATAATATCAGCAAAATGTTGTTTTTATCGTAAAATCTTCGCTTATCGGTGTGTTTCGTGAAAACTTTTGTATTGTGCCAAACGTTTTAAATGCGTGTGACGTTGTAAAACAATTTGTGCGGTATTGTTTACAAACTTAAAATTTTGCTCTATTTTTGTGTTAAAAATAATGTTATGTTGTTGTGTTTTTGTGGAGGAGTTTGATATGATGGATATTTATGGAGGTTCAGAACATAGATAGCAAGTCCAGAAGGCACCTGCAAACAACAATAACCACTTGTAGTTTGTTATAGTAGTTTAAATGCTTAAACACTAGCTAAGTTTGTAGTTTATCTTGTTATAAAATACCTATACCTTGTTATAAAATACCTATAAGCTAGATTCTTAATGTAATTTTACATATTTAAGAACACTTTAATGGTTATTAACAAGTTTACATAAGGAATGCAGATGCAGATGATGTATAAATCTAATCGAAATAATTTAATATGAAATAATTGGCAACAAACTGCAAATTAAAAATATACCTTTTTATTTATTTACATTTTTTTAATCAATAAGGAGAAATTTTTACAATAAAATGCATAGGGACATAAAGTCATTTAACGTTTTTATAAAGAAAATAGTTCTTTTAAATTCTCTTCAATTTTATTTTTTTTGAAAATGCTTTTTATTTTATTCTATTAAATTAATGTACCTACATTGTATGTTTCTGGGAATGCAGCTAAGGTGCCAAGGGTAAGTGATTTTTTGTATATATTTTTTAAATAAAATTACACAATAATTTTTATATAGATACTATAGTATACTTTTTACTAGGTATTTAAAATATGAAAAAAAACTTATCCATTAAAGGATATTTTTTTAACAAACATTTTAAATGTTTTTTTTACGCCATTTTACATTACTTTTTACCCATCTTTGCATACATAGGTTATACCATTGTTTTTGGTTATACTTAAATTAGTGTTCGAAGTGCCAGTGTAAGTTTATAAATGTGTAACTATTATAAATCAGTATTTTTAAATGATCCTATAAAAAATTATGCAATTTTTTGTCTATTTTTTACGTTCGATAATGTTTTATTGAAAAGTATTTATTCAAGTACCTATATTATATAGGCTATATATCAATGTGAATCAGCATTAATAAATGCTTTTAATGCTTCACTATCGCAACTTGCAAAAATAAGCAAATCAGCATTTTTAAGTGCCGCCATTTTTTATTTGAATACCACTACAAAAACATTTTTTTAGGATTTTATTACTGCGAATCAGCATTTTAAATGGCATATTTAATGCTGTCACATTTACATGCTTTTTTATGTCTTTGTATACTTTGCAAGAGCAAGCATTTTTTAAGTGCAAATCCTAAAGGTTTTTTTAAATGGTTTGATGGTGAAAGTGCAAGTTTGTTAAAGTGTTTTACCATTGTGAATCAGCACTTAAATGCTTTTAATTGACATTTTTTATGTCATTTTACGTATTTACGTTAGATTATATTTTCATTCTTTTTAAAGTATTACCATTATGAATCAGCGTTTTTAAACGCTTCTTAAACCAATATTTTTAAGAAAAATTACAGGTTATCCTTAATTTTTTTTATGAAAAGTGAATTGTTACTTTTTAATCAACAATTTTTAAATGCTCTTGAGAGCATATTTTATGTCGCCATTTTTTGTTTGGGAATAATACCAAAGCATTTTATTGCTGTTTTATCATTGCGAATCAGCATTTTAATGCTTTTGTATTTGTATATCGTATTTTTTAATGAATAGTGTTTGTAATTGTGCAAGTTTATTAATGTGGTACTATTGTACTAGGATTTTACCACTACGAATCAGCATTTGAAATGTTTTTAAATAGACTACTTTATGTCATTTTACGTAATGTTTTTCCCCATCATTACAACATATTTTATTTATTAAGTTTATTACCATTTTAAATCAGCATTAAATGCTCGAAATATGTAATGAATTATTTGTAAATTTAAGTTTTTAATAAATGCCAATTTAATTGAATAGAACACTTTTATTCGTTAGAGTTCGAACGCTGCAAGATGGATTCCGCAACGTAATCAGCCATGCATTGCCCACCGTTCGAGCGAAGACGTTACAGTTTTGTCCTTTTTAATTTAAAACCTTTTTTTTAAGTACGTTTGTGGGTTTTTATACAGGAGAATAAAAGGGGAATTTAAAAATAAGCCTTGTGCAAATACCCACCAACCTAACCTAACAATTTTTACAGTTCAAAAACTAAAGCTGACTTTTTTTAGGGACGAATCCGTGCAACTGGAACCAGAAGTGCAGGAAAAGTGTTTGGGACCTAATACAAAACCAGAATTAAAATGTGACATGTGTTTATTTGAAACAAATGTAGAAGAGGAATATAATGTTCACTCTGAAATACACAATACCAAAATATGTCCTTACTGTAATTTACAGTTTATATCGAATATGGTTTTGCAAGGGCATGTGCTTGCCAAACACAAACGACTAAATATTCTCGAGAAGAAAATAGCCTTTACATACCAGTGCACCCGTTGTACTTTTGCCACCATAAGTTTAGGGAAATATGCAAAGCATGTGACATTATGTTTATGTGAAATATATTACTGCAGAAAATGTAAATTTAAAACATCAGATGCAAAAACTTATAAAACCCATAGGACAAAATGTACACCTAAGACGACAGACATAAAAACGTATAATATGCGTGAAATAAGTTGTTCGCAATGTTCCTACACAACGAAAATACAAAAGGACTTTGAGCTGCACTACAAAAAACATCTCGATGAAAACTTAACGTGCCCTTATTGCGAGTTAAAAGTGACGAAGTCGCGTGATTTGCAACAACATGTTTTTTGCACTCATAAGCAACAAAACGAAGTTGAAAAGAAAGTGGAAGTTGCCATAACCTCGTTAAATTGCAAAAAGTGCTCTTTTAAGACAGTGAGGAAAGACCTTTACGAAACACACGTACAATTGTGTGAAGAGAGATTGTAATGTTAACTATGGTTTCGCGTAAAAAATCGAACAAATTTGGACATTTATTTGCAAGTGATGCCAGAATTAAATATATTTTTTTAACCTTGTTTCTACATCTAAAAGGTGCATTATTTAAAAAAAATTATCGATTGACCGCTGTGGTTTTTAGACTTGCAAATTGACCGTTCGATCCTTTCGCGAAACCATAGTTAAAAGAAGTTAGTGAGATGACTGCAGTCATGGGTTACAATATAATATAAACATTTATTATAATTGTGTTCTAAAGCCTTGTAAAACCTGTTTAACAATAAACGATTTTGTCCATTTGGTGTTATTTTTCAAACTCAATTTTCAACTTCTTCTTAAACTTTACATAACTTAACATAACATAACATATTTTGTTTCAGGGACATCGACGTAAAACAGGAAATTCTTGTCTGTCCTTATTGTGATTTTCTAGCTGCTTCCACGTTAAGCCTAAAATTGCACGTATGCAAAAGTCATAAGCAACAAAATAACGTCGAAAAGAAAGTTGATACTAGCATTAAAAAGTATTATATATCGTGTAATAAAAACGATAATAAACAGCTGCATTTTTTAAAAAAGCACGTGCTAACTAAACGTAGAGAACAAAATGGGGCCGAGAAAAACTTGGAGAATCGTCCTATTGAAGAAAAGCATCATTATTGCCCCTACTGCCACTATAAGTCCATATTTAACTTTCACCTTCAAAGACATGTTTATAGAGACCATAGGGAACAAAATGAGAAAGAAAAGAAAGTCAAGATAACAATTAAAATTAATTATTGCGACAATTGTAACTACAGTTATACAGATTACGCGGAATTTCGGCGGCACGCTAAGAAATGTACGAAGGGGCCATTATTCCAATGTCCTGATTGCATTTTCAGTACCAACTCAGAGGAAAAACATAATATACACGTTAAATATAATACTAATTTTGAACTTACCTGTTCTTCTTGCCCTTTTACCTCCAAATGTCGACCTTCATATTATATTCATAGAGAGAAACATAGGAAAATTGAGGTAAAGGAAGTAGTATTGCTGCATTGTCCCGATTGCTCTTACAGTACCAACTGCAAGAAAAAAAATGAATTCGCACGTTAAACATAACACCAAGACTAACTCTGAACTAACCTGTGCTTTTTGTTCCTTTACCTCTAAATGTCGAGGGGAATTTTTGGAACATAAGAAAAAACACATGAAGTTGGAAGTCTGTCCTTACTGTAAATATTCGGCATACAATAATCAAGTCATGCAGAGACATGTGCACAATAATCACAAGGAGCAAAATGATGTTGAGAATAAAGTCAAAATTACCGGCAAGGTTTTTTAAGTGTACATTTTGTGCGTACAGTTCTATGAATAGGTGTGGTTTGAAGGTACATGAGCAAGCGTGTAAAAAAAAACTACACGCGAAGACCACGTGAATGAGTTACATAAAGCATTGTACAACATTTTCAGCAATAAATGATTTTGTCTATTTGGTGTTTATTTTCAAGTATTCGTTATGTTTTTTCAAACTATATAAACAATAATTAATGAAATATTTTTTGTTTCAGAAATATCGTCTGCCCCTATTGTGATTTCCAAGCTCTCGACTCGTATTAACCTGAAATTGCATGTATCATGTAATCATAAAGAGCAAAATAAAGTTGAAAAGAAGTTGATACTGGCATTGTATACCACGTAAAAAACAATACAAGTATTGTGTAAAAACGATAAAAAACCTGACAAAAAAGAAGACACTTGCCCATACTGTCCAACAGTTATGAAGGAAAGATACAACTTGCAAAGGCATGTTTTCGTTATCCATGGGAACCAAAATAAGGCCGAAAAAAAGTTCGAATTTTCAAATTGTTTCTTGCAAAAGTTTTCCAAGGGTGAAACGTATGATTCTTGTCCCTACTGCAACAAAATAAAATTTGATCTTCAAAAGCACGTTTATCAAATGCACAAGGAACAAAATGAGAAAGAAAAAAAAGTTGCAATATCATTTAAAATTAATTACTGCGATAACTGTGATTACAGTCATCCAGACCAGTCAGAATTTCAACGACATGTTAAGAAATGTAACGGTTGTACGAAAAAACACAGTACATTCGAAGTGTGTCCTTACTGTGAGCATTCGACATCTGATAAACACAACTTGCACAAACATGTTTACAATAATCACAAGAAACAAAATGGTGTCGAAAAGAAAGTTAGGATTACCGGCAGGATTTATAAGTGTACATTTTGTGCTTACAGTACCATGGATACGTCTGGGTTTTGGGTACACAAAAAGGCGTGTAAAAATAAAAACAGTTAGATTATAGTTTAATAAAACTGAATAAATTTAGCTGTATTAATTAATAATTACTAATAAAGTTTTATTTATATACTGTTTTTGTCTTTTTAGTCTTTATTATTTTCTTTTAAGTTAAGTTTCAAATAGTGCAATTTAACAAGTGAAAATACAGTGAATAACGATCATACGAACACGGAAGTAATTAAGTTAGAAGTGATAAGTCACAGCATACCTGGCGGTCTAACCACAGGCCAAAAACCGATAAGTACTCATAATAACTGATGGCAGTTATTTCCGTGTGAACACAACCACTAAAAAAACAATACAAAAAACCCTAGCAAAATTATTACCAAAGTAATAGCAACTAAACGACGTTTATTGATATAGCGGATTAGTGTAAATAACTGTTTCTAATTGTTTCCTATTTTTTAGCCTGGTCAATAACGATTGGCTGAATCTTCTATGAAGTCAGTACTGACAACGAGATGTAGACCACGACTAGGAAATATAGGCTATGCGACCTAACAACTCAACTGCAAACAGTAATCCCAAATGTTTGTTGTACATGTCTATGCCATTGTAAAACATTTTTAACAATAAATGATGTGTCTATTTGGTGTTTATTTTTAAATTCGATTTTAGTATTTGTTATCTCTCTTTTGAAACTAGGAACTGTAATTAACAAAACCATTTTTGTTTCAGAAATTTCAACACTCAACAAAAAAATCCCATCTGCCCCTATTGTGATTTTCAACCTCTCGACATGTATAACCTAAAATTACATGTAAGCCTAAATCACAAAGAACAAAACAAAGTTGAAAAGAAAGTTGATACTGGCATTATATATCATGTAAAAACGATCCAAGTATTATGTAAAAACGATATGAAAAAAAAACCTGTCGAAAGCCCCAAAAAATTCGCTTGTCCATACTGTCCAGCTGTTATGAAGCGAAGATACAACTTACAAAAGCATATTTTCTTTGTACATGAAAACAAACAAGATAAAGCCAAGAAAAAGATGGAAGTTTTAAATTGCGGTGAAAAATATGATTCTTGCCCCTACTGCCACAAGTTGAAATGTCATCTTGAAAACCACGTTTATAAAATGCACAAGGAACAAAACGAAAAAGAAAGGAAAGTAACAATTAAGATTAATTATTGCGATAACTGTGATTACAGTAATCCAGACCAGACGGAATTTCAACGGCACGTTAAGAAGTGTAAGAAGCCATTGCCATTATGGCAATGTCCGGATTGTTCTTACAGAACTAACTCCAAGGAAAAACTTAAGCTACACGTTAAACTAAATAGTAACATTCAACTAACCTGTTCTTATTGTCCCTTCACCTCAAAATGTCGCCCCTCATTTTGGAAACATACGAAAAAACACAGTAAATTCGAGGTGTGTCCTTACTGTGAACATTCCACATCCGACAAACACAACTTGCAGAGGCATGTTTACAATAACCACAAGCACCAAAACGATGTCGAGAATAAAGTTGAGATTACCGACAGTGTTTTCAAGTGTACATTTTGTGGTTACAGCACTATGGACAAGTCTGGGTTTAGTGTACATATATATAAGGGGGCGTGTAAAAAGAAGCAGTCAGACTTATGGTTCACTAAAACAGATTAAACGTTAGCTGCATTTATATGCTGTGTGTTTGCCTTTGTGGTCTCTTCTGCAATAGCACAAGTGCTGGCCAAAGAGGCAAGAGGCCTCCCTAGTTGTAATAGTGAACTAGGGATCTTTTCCTACTGGAATACTATAAATGACCCCTTTGTTAACGTGAATACCAAGAATGAACTTTTCAACATTAAAATGGTTCTTAATAAATGTATTTTAAGTTAAATGAAGCATTGTGAAACATTTTCAACAATAAATGATTCTGTCTATTTGGTGTTTATTTGCAACTTAATTTTTTTGTATTTTTGTTAATATTCCTCTTAAACTGTATTTAACAAAACGATTTTTGTTTCAGAAATATCGTCATGACGATATATATATGTGCACACAACAAGACAATCCTATCTGTCCCTATTGTGATTTTCAAGTCCCTGATATGTATAACCTTAAACTACACATAAGCGTGAATCATAAAGCGAAAAAGAAAGTTGATACTGGCATTAAATATCACGTGAAAACAATACAAGTATTGCGCAAAAATGATAACAAAACGCTAAAAACTGACGAAAGCCCCAAGAAAGAAGGCAGTTGTCCATACTGCCCAGTAATTATGAGGCAAAAGTTTTGCTTACAAAGGCATGTATATTACAAACATAGAGAATTAAATAAAGCCGAAAAAAAGTTTGAATTTTCCAGTTCTTACTTGCAAAATGTTTCAAACGATGAAAAATATGAGTCTTGCCCCTACTGCAACAAGTTAAAATGTCATCTTCAAGAACACGTTTATAAAATGCCCAAGAAACAAAATGATGAATATGAGTCTTGCCCCTACTGCAACAAGTTAAAATTTCATCTTCAAGAACACGTTTATAAAATGCACAAGAAACAAAATGAAAAGGAGAAAAAAGTCAAGATTACGATCAAAATTAATTATTGCGATAATTGTGATTACAGTCATCCAGACCTTGCCGAATTTCAGCAACATGCTAAAAAATGCAAGGATTTGACATTATTTCGGTGTCCTGATTGCTCATACAGTACCAACTCCATGGAACAACTAAATTTACACGTTAAATTCGTCACCTGTTCTTTCTGCCCCTTTACCTTTAAATGTCACAGGTCATTTTGGAGTCATACTCAAAAACATAAGAAATTTGAGGTGAACAAAGGGCATTTATTGCTTTACTGTCCGGATTGTACTTTCAGTACCAACTCAAAAGAACAACTTAATTTACATATTAATTACATTACCTGTTCTTTTTGTCCCTTCACCTCTAAATGTCGCCCTTCCTTTTTGAATCATAAGAGAATACACAGTAAATATGCTTGTCCTTACTGTGGACATTCGACCTCTAATAATCACAACTTGCAGAGCCATGTTTACAACCATCACAAACAACAAAACAATGTTGAAAATAAGGTTAAGATTACCGGCAACGTTTTTAAGTGTAAATTTTGTGCTTACAGTACTATGGGTAAGACTGGGTTTAAAAGTCACAAGGAGGTGTGTAAAGAAAAACATAGTGGTTTACTCTCAAATCTAATAAACATAAGTTAGGTGTATTAATTAATATTTAAAAATAAAGTATTACTTTTACAACGTGTTTTTGTCATTTTAGTCTCTATTTAAATAGGATGATATTGGTTGAAATTTAAACTAAAACAAATATAAAAAGTAAAACAAATTAATAAAAAAACACATGCATTATATGCTGTGTGTTTGCCTTTTTGGTCTCTATTGCAATAGCACAAGTTCTGACCAAAGAGGCAAGAGGCCTCCCTAGTTGTTATAGTGAACTAGGGATCTTTTCCTACTGGAATACTATTAATGGCCCCTTTGTTAACGTGTATACCAAGAATGAACTTTTTAACATTAAAATGGTTCTTAATAAATGTGAAACATTTTCAACAATAAAATGATTCTGTCTATTTGGTGTTTATTTTCAACTTAATTTTTTTGTATTTTTGTTAATTTTCCTCTTAAACTGTATTTAACAAAACGATTTTTGTTTCAGAAATATCGTCACACAACAAGACAATCCTCTCTGTCCCTATTGTGATTTTCAAGCCCCTGATATGTATAACCTTAAACTACACATAAGCGTGAATCATAAAGCGAAAAAGAAAGTTGATACTGGCATTAAATATCACGTGAAAACAATACGAGTATTGCGCAAAAAAGATAACAAAACGCTAAAAACTGACGAAAGCCCCAAGAAAGAAGGCAGTTGTCCATACTGCCCAATAATTATGAGGCAAAAGTTTTGCTTACAAAGGCATGTATACTACAAACATAGAGAATTAAATAAAGCCGAAAAAAAGTTTGAATTTTTCAGTTCTTACTTGCAAAATGTTTCCGACGATGAAAAATATGAGTCTTGCCCCTACTGCAACAAGTTAAAATGTCATCTTCAAAAACACGTTTATAAAATGCCCAAGAAACAAAATGATGAATATGAGTCTTGCCCCTACTGCAAGAAGTTAAAATTTCATCTTCAAGAACACGTTTATAAAATGCACAAGAAACAAAATGAAAAGGAGAAAAAAGTCAAGATTACGATCAAAATTAATTATTGCGATAATTGTGATTACAGTCATCCAGACCTTGCCGAATTTCAGCAACATGCTAAAAAATGCAAGGATTTGACATTATTTCGGTGTCCTGATTGCTCCTACAGTACCAACTCCATGGAACAACTAAATTTACACGTTAAATTCGTCACCTGTTCTTTCTGCCCCTTTACCTTTAAATGTCACAGGTCATTTTGGAGTCATACTCAAAAACATAAGAAATTTGAGGTGAACAAAGGGCCTTTATTGCTTTACTGTCCGGATTGTACTTTCAGCACCAACTCAAAAGAACAACTTAATTTACATATTAATTACATTACCTGTTCTTTTTGTCCCTTCACCTCTAAATGTCGGCCATCCTTTTTGAATCATAAGAGAATACACAGTAAATATGCTTGTCCTTATTGCGGACATTCGACCTCTAATAATCACAACTTGCAGAGCCATGTTTACAACCATCACAAACAACAAAACAATGTTGAAAATAAGGTTAAGATTACCGGCAACGTTTTTAAGTGTAAATTTTGTGCTTACAGTACTATGGGTAAGACTGGGTTTAAAAGTCACAAGGAGGTGTGTAAAGAAAAACATAGTGGCTTGCTCTCAAATCTAATAAACTTAAGTTAGGTGTATTAATTAATATTTAAAAATAAAGTATTACTTCTACAACGTGGTTTGTCATTTTAGTCTCTATTTAGGATGATAATGGTTGAAATTGAAGGTCTCTATTGCAATAGCATAAGTGCTGACCAAAGAGGCAAGAGGCCTCCCTAGTTGTAATAGTGAACTAGGGATCTTTTCCTACTGGAATACTATTAATGGCCCCTTTGTTAACGTGTATACCAAGAATTAATTTTTCAACATTAAAATGGTTCTTAATAAATGTATTTTAAGTTAAATGAAGCATTGTGAAACATTTTCAACAATAAAATGATTCTGTCTATTTGGTGTTTATTTTCAACTTCATTTTTTAGTATTTTTGTTAATTTTCCTCTTAAACTGTATTTAACAAAACGATTTTTGTTACAGAAATATCGTCACACAACAAGACAATCCTCTTTGTCCCTATTGTGATTTTCAAGCCCCTGATATGTATAACCTTAAACTACACATAAGCGTGAATCATAAAGTGAAAAAGAAAGTTGATACTGGCATTAAATATCACGTGAAAACAATACGAGTATTGCGCAGAAATGATAACAAAACGCTAAAAACTGACGAAAGCCCCAAGAAAGAAGGCAGTTGTCCATACTGCCCAATAATTTTGAGGCAAAAGTTCTGCTTACAAAGGCATGTATAGTATACATTGTATACTACAAACATAGAGAATTAAATAAAGCCGAAAAAAAGTTTGAATTTTCCAGTTCTTACTTGCAAAATGTTTCCAACGATGAAAAATATGAGTCTTGCCCCTACTGCAACAAGTTAAAATGTCATCTTCAAGAACACGTTTATAAAATGGACAAGAAACAAAATGATGAATATGAGTCTTGCCCCTACTGCAACAAGTTAAAATGTCATCTTCAAGAACACGTTTATAAAATGCACAAGGAACAAAATGAAAAGGAGAAAAAAGTCAAGATTACGATCAAAATTAATTATTGCGATAATTGTGATTACAGTCATCCAGACTTTGCCGAATTTCAGCAACATGCTAAGAAATGCAAGGATTTGACATTATTTCGGTGTCCTGATTGCTCCTACAGTACCAACTCCATGGAACAACTAAATTTACACGTTAAATTCGTCACCTGTTCTTTCTGCCCCTTTACCTTTAAATGTCACAGGTCATTTTGGAGTCATACTCAAAAACATAAGAAATTTGAGGTGAACAAAGGGCCTTTATTGCTTTACTGTCCGGATTGTACTTTCAGTACCAACTCCAAAGAACAACTTAATTTACATATTAATTACATTACCTGTTCTTTTTGTCCCTTCACCTCTAAATGTCGGCCATCCTTTTTGAATCATAAGAGAATACACAGTAAATATGCTTGTCCTTACTGTGGACATTCGACATCTAATAATCACAACTTGCAAAGCCATGTTTACAATAATCACAAGAAACAAAACAATGTCGAAAAGAAAGTCAAGATTACCGGCAATGTTTTTAAGTGTAAATTTTGTACTTACAGTACTATGAGCAAGAATGGGTTTAAGAGTCACAAGGAGGTGTGTAAAGAAAAACATAGTGGTTTACTCTCGAATCTAATAAACATAAGTTAGGTGTATTAATTAATATTTAAAAATAAAGGATTACTTCTACAACGTGTTGTTTTCTTTTTAGTCTCTATTTAAATAGAGAACAAAAAAACAACACCACCTGCAGAGACATGTCCACAATAATCACAAGGAGCAAAATGATGCAGAGAAGAAAGTTAAGATTACCAGCAGTGTTTTTAAGTGTACATTTTGTGAGTACAGTACCATGGATAAGTCTGGGTTTAAGGGACACATGGAGGCGTGCAAAAAGAAACAATCAGAGAACCTTTAGTTAAAATAAGTTGTTGTTAAACATTTTTAATAAATAATTTTGTGGATTTAGTGTTTATTTTAAAAAAAATTTTTGTTTCTTTTTAAACTATAATTAACAAAACATTTTTTGTTTCAGAAATATCGACAAACAACAAAATAAAATGGAAAAGAAAGATGTCAATAAATGTAAGAAGGACGAACAAGACGGACAGCACGGTCCTTTATTGCAATGCCCTGATTGCACGTACAGTACTAACTCCGAGGAAAAATTTAATTTACACGTTAAACTTAACAATAAACCTGAATTAGCCTGTTCTCTTTGCCCCTTTACCTCCAAATGTCGAATGTCGTTTTGGAATCACAAGAAAAAACACAGGAAATTTGAGGCGTGTCCTTACTGTAAATATTCCACAGCTGATAAACACCACTTACAAAGACACGTTTACAAAAATCACCATGAACAAAATGAAAAAGAAAAGAAAGTAAAAATTACAATTAAAATCCGATATTGCGATATCTGTAATTACAGTTATACGGACAACTCCAAGTTTCAGCAACATGCTAAGAAATGTAAGAAGGACGGCTCATTATTACAATGTCCCGATTGCACTTACACTACCAACTCCGAAGAGAAACTCCACTTACACGTCAAACATAATAATAATTTCGAACTGACCTGTCATCTTTGTCCCTTTGCCTCCAAATGTCGCCCTTCGTTTTGGAATCACAAGAAAAAACACAGAAAATATGATTGTCCTTACTGTGAACATTTGACATATGACAAACACCACCTGCAGAGACATGTTTACAATAATCACAAAGAAACAAATGATATTGAGAATAAAGTTAAGATTACCGGCAATGTTTTTAAGTGTACATTTTGTGATTACAGTACCATGAATAAGTCGGGGTTCAAAGTACATGAGAAAGCGTGTAAAAGGAAACAATCATAGTAATGGTTTAACAAAGGTAGCTGTATTTATTAATATTTAATCATAAAGTATTATTTCTATACCGTGTTTTTCTCTCCCCCCCTATTAATAAATAAATTATCAAACTTATTATTAACTTAGTCCCCGACTAAATTTTGTGCCAGGTCCACAGAATAGATAACCTGGTATATGTAATAATGGCGATTCCAATCATTTACAATAGGTAATTAACATTTTTATGATGTTTACGCAGAATTCAATATTAAAAATAAATACTTTTAGTTATTACTTAACTAAATATAAAGTATACCTAAGCTAACCCAAGTGATATTACGAGTTATAAAGTTATAATTTCTTTACAAATTCTATTAACTGATTAATTATATTTCAGTTAATGTTTTCTATTTTTTGGTTTACAATACATTAAGAGATTAAGTAATCATGATAGGTTTAAGACAACTTGGTAAATGAGTATATGTTTTTGTAATAAATTTTTATTAAAAAGGACTTTTTTCTATAAAATGTATACAAGGGGGTATTTCTTAAATTTGCCATTTTTTTACTATAGAAAATAATCTCTATAGAGGGCTATAACCAATCAGAGCACAGCTTTCTTCATCGCACCCAAGGTTTAAGAAAAAATAAACTGCTAAGATTGTAATGACTTTTATTTTTATAACATGTTTACCTTAATGAATACATTGAATCTACTACTACTTATAATGATACAACAATTATAATAACAATTGTTGTTTTTTTTGCTATCCAAGAATTATATAGATGATCCTTTGGAAAAAATTAAAGATGTGGACAGCGCGGTCCTAATAGTCCTTAAGAGTGCATCGCTGTATTTCATTTCGCTGATTTTTTATTATACTTGTACTGCTATAATATTATTATGGTTCTTGGGTAAAAAAGTAATATTCGACACTGCAAGACCAAAATGTAAATACCGCCATACAGCACCACCACTGTAAATCCATGCATTCATATATGGCGTTACAACAAAATATTCTCCGACAATTTTTAATTCAAATCCAATATACACTCCTACATCCCACCAAAAAGCATTTTTAGAACAAGTTAAAGCGTAAACCGTGTATGGAGTTTTATTAAAGTTAACTGTTTCGAACGTTAATGTACCAAAGTGTCCACTTCCTACATCACCAACTGTCTCAGGCGAGTAGGCTTGGCCAGATGTTTCAAATGAAATTAATGGATATAGATCCATAAATTCGGAAATAGAATGGGCGTAATCTCGATAATTTACCACCTTATATGAAGGCGTGTTTTCCGTCTGTCGTTCTGTAGTAGACCAATTTGCTCCCATCTTCCAAAATTTACTGTATCTCACTGGATAACTAATCGGTTGTTTATTATCTTTTAACAACGTTACTGGCTTAATGCTATGTATACATAAAACTATAAAAAGCGTATGCAACTTGAAAATATTCGTATTCATGCTGAAAAAGATATTTCCCACAACTAGGTATATTATAGTTATTTACGATATAAGTGGGATAAGAGCTTTATTAACGTACGCATGCGAAATTTGCCCAACGAGTGCGTAGCACGAGTTGGCCCTGCTGAAAATCCCGCATAAAAACTTATAAAAAAAAACTTATAAAAACTTATAAAAGTTTATGAGATTTTATAGGGCCTATGAAACAGCAATTTCTGATACAAACTTTTCAAATTCTATAGGTTTTTAAGAGAAACTACTTTTCAACTCTGGTCAATACTAATTAAACTTTATGAGTATTTACGCATCAAGGTATATAATATTTTATGAGTATTTATGAGTTTTTAAGAGAAATTACTTTTCAACTCTGGTCAAAACTTATTAAACTATCAGTATTTACGCATCAAGTTATATAATATTTTATGAGTATTTATGAGTTTTTAAGAGACATTACTTTTTAACTCTAGTCAGTAGAATAGTAGTTATAATATTAAATATAATATACATATTTTATGAGTATGTATACGTTTTTAAGAGACACTACCCAGCTGACAGTATGACGTTCTTTTAACGTATTTATTTCGTCACCCATTACGTCGTTTTGACCTGTTGGATGACGTCGAATCGATCAAAATATTACGTGAAGTAGTAAATTGTGGGGGTTCGCGGCTTTGGCCTTGCAAAGCAGGCACTGTTTAAGCAGAGGACCACGGAAATTCCATGACGATCTAGACGGAACAATCCTGGCTCCAACAAAGAATTTCAGTGAAAAAGCTAAATTGTCGTAGGCCACAATTCGTGACTCGTTTATTTGCCGAGGTTCGTATTCCTAAATCTTAAATTGCAATGCAGCCAGTGTCAACTTATATACTTAACGAATAGTGCCACATAAGCGAGATGTATTATGCAATAATGGTTGCCCATGATAAGTAGATTTCTACTATATTATAGTAGATGCCTACTTATCATAGGCAACCTTACTCTGGTCAATACTAATTAAACTTTATGAGTATTTACGCATCAAGGTATATAATATTTTATGAGTATTTATGAGTTTTTAAGAGAAATTACTTTTCAACTCTGGTCGAAACTTATTAAACTATCAGTATTTACGCATCAAGTTATATAATATTTTATGAGTATTTATGAGTTTTTAAGAGACATTACTTTTTAACTCTAGTCAGTAGAATAGTAGTTATAATATTAAATATAATATACATATTTTATGAGTATGTATACGTTTTTAAGAGACACTATATATGGTGTCTTACTTTTAAGCTCTAGTGAAAACTTATTAAACTTTATCAGTAGGTATTTACCGATCATGTTATATAATATTTTATGAGAATTAAAAAAGTTTTAATAAGACACTATATAATCATAAAACTTTATAATCACTTATCCGATAAATACTCGTACACAGCTGTTACGTGTAAGAGTGTTACACTGTAACTCCAATAGAATATTGATAACATAATGCGTAAATACGCATTATACGCGTATACGCATCATGTTATCAATATTTTATAGGTGTTACATGTAACAGCTGGGTATTATTATTTATTGGATAAGTGAATGAAGGGTATATATTATGTTTTATAAAAGTTGGATGTAAAAAACCAATAAAAACCGATAAAATTAATTTCTTATAAATACTTGTGGCTTCTTATAGACATATAATAGGTAAGGCCTTATACAAACCAATAAACTTACATCCCTTATATAGTCTCATAAACACTCATAAACAATGATCAAATCGGGACCATACTGAAACTGATAAAAGCCATGTGCACATAAAATCTTATAAGTACTGTACCACATAAAGTCTTATAAAAACTTATATAGATGTAAAAAAACAATAAAATCCGATAAAATTATTTTCTTATAATTACTTATACCTTTTTATAGACATATAATAGGTAAGGCCTTATACAAACCAATAAACTTACATCCCTCATAGAGTCTCATAAACACTCATAAACAATGATCAAATAGGGACCATACTGAAACTGATAAAAGCCATGTGCACATAAAGTCTTATAAGTACTCTTTAACATTTTAGCTGGAATTCCTTATAGACATTTGCACCTACCATATAAAGTCTTATAAAAACTTATAAAAGTTAGATATAAAAAAACAATAAAATCCGATAAAATTCATTTCTCATATATGCTTATAGCTTCTTATAGACATTTAATAGTTAAGGCCTTATACAAACCAATAAACTTACATCCCTCATAGAGTCACATAAAATCTCATAAAAAATTATCAAATAGGAACCACATTAAAACTGATAAAAGTCTTGTGCACATAAAATCTTATAAATTCACTTCAAAATTTTAGTTGGAATTTCTTATAGAAATTTGTACCTCGTAAAGTCTTATAAAAACTAATAAAAGTTTTATAAGTCACGGCTCATAAAACTATTTCTTATAAAAACTGATAGAATTCTGATAAAACCCTTATGAGCAATTAGACAAAACCTTATAGAAACTAAGAAACCGCATACATCCTTATTAAATATTATAGAACTTTTATAAGTTTTTATGCGGGTTTTTCAACAGGGGGGCAATCGCAAAAGTACGTTAATAAAGCGTTATCACACGTATATTGTACAAATTTTTATCTACGCCTCTAAATGAAAAAATAAACGGTAATTATTTTTGTCCAAGACTTAATTTAGGGTTATTTTGACATTTTGACTTTTTTATTTGATTGGTTAAAAGCAGAGAAAAACGCGTGCGTTAATGAACTTCTTATCTCACTCAAAATGAGTGGGATAAGAAGTTCTTATCTCACTGGCGTAGATAAAATAATTAATATCTTCAATAAATAAACGTACTTGTCAATGGTCCTCGTTGTCAGGTTTGGTAGTTGGATAATGAGAACTGTCAACAAAGCCAAAGCCTACCAAAAATTAAGACGATAGAATCCTATGTTCTGTAAACGTGATAAATGTGGATTAATAAAATATTATTATTATACAGTCCTTCCCTGTTATATATATATATCTTTTGAACGAGAAAATTTATCAACATCAGACAAAAACCATTGTCAAGGATATTAATTAATACTTAAGTATACTAAAAATTTATAGGTGCCTATTTAAGAAGTGCCAAAAGGCAGTACCTATCAACTTAAAAATTTCAAATGGAAACACATAAGTCTGAATATGAAATGACCCATTACATAGTTTCATGACATTTTGTTCACAAAAGAGAGGAAGGTAGAAGTTTTACTCTACAAATTTTGTTCAATTGCACAGCTAAATCGCGCACGTTATTTGTGTTTTACGTTGCAAGGAAAAAACTAAAAAACTGGTTTAGTACTCGATTTCACTTGATTATTCCTTATATCATTGATTAAGAAACTCAACGCTCAAATGATTATATAGTTACGTTAGTGTGTGTATTTTATCTAAGGGATCAGGATGAATTATTAATACAACAAACACAATTGTGTTTTTAATTGTAAATAAAATTCAAGAACTAAATCGTTGCAGTACTGTTTCATGTTTTGCCAAAGGATCCAATTCGGTAAGTACATTTTTTGGTGCAGAATTAACTAATGATAACTTTACCTAATATAATTTATATTTAAGGACACATGCACAAACATAACCTTAAAATCAACCATTTTTATATTTGAATCCTCTAAAAAACGCTGACAACTGTATTTTAAACAACAAAATATACCTACGAATTCGAATTGATGATCATGGCAACATAATATTATATACAGGGTGGTCCAGGATTAATCTGAAAAATTTTAATGATCGATAGAGCCTGAAAAAACAATAAAAACAAACCCAAAAACATTTTTTTTAAATACACACTAACACACTAATAGCCCTTCAAAGGCAAAAAAAAAACGTTTTTTTTTTTAATAACTTCTGCTCAAATTTTGTGTAGGTAAAATTTCTTACAAAAGGCCCAGCGGCGGAGATTTTGGGGGGGTTTCCCCTTTTTACCCCCATATTTTGACACCACTGCAGTGGTGTCAAAATGGATTTTATTGGAAAATAATCAGATTTCTTATTCAATTTAGAAGTAGGTACACGGAATTTTATCATATTTTATTTTAAATCGGTAACTTGGTAACAATTATGCCACGTTATCAGTTTATAAAATATTTTAAAAATAAAGTAGCGTCCTAGGAGTCATCGTGCAGTTGTTACTGAACCCGTCATATTTTAGGTTGTTTTATTGTAACGTTGATTGAGGAAAAACCACCCTATTGAAAGCGATTATTCCATTATTTCATTGGTAAATTTTTATTCGCCCAATACAATCGTTCAGAAAAAAAATAATTTTTTATTACTAAAATAGTAACAAAAGTTCCGGGTACACAGTGTTTTTGAAATTTTAAACTGAAATATTTATCTTCGAAACCATTGATCTGATAAAAAATAAACATAAAAGTTTTGCTTTTAGATTGAAAAAGGATAAAAATAAATCTGATGATTTTCTAATAAAATCCAGTGGCGTCGAAAATATGAGGGTAAAAAGGGGAAACCCCTTCCAAAATCTCCGCCACTGGGCCTTCTGTAGGAAATTTTCATTATATTATCGACGGAAGCTTAACCTACACAAAATTTAAGAAGAATCGGTTTGATGGCCATCAAACCGATTCTTCTTAAATTTTGTGTAGGTTAAGCTTACGTCGATAATATAATGAAAATTTCCTACAGAAGGCCTTCTTCCGGTTTAAAAATTATTTTGAAGGACTACCTATATCTCCGTTAGTATGCATTTTTGAAAAATGTTTTTGGGTTTGTTTTTATTGTTTTTTCAGGCTCTATCGATCATTAAAATTTTTCAGATTAATCCTGGACCACCCTGTATATATATATATATATATATATTATAATACATAATATAATGGTCGCCTTTAATAATGCTAAATGCTGTTTAAATTTAGACGACTTATTTGTTTGACGCACATCCAAAATATATTCAATGATTGCCAAGATATTAAACGTTTAAATAAAATTAATCATTAAATCAAATTTTTGTTTTCATTTATTACGTACAATAAAAAGTTTACTTCATATCCTTGACAATGGTTTTTCTCCGATGTCGATAACTTTTTTGTTCTGAAGATAACGGGGGCACTATAATTTTCTGAGAAATTTCTCAGAAAATTATAGTGCGCATGTTATAACATTTATAAATTTAAACAATGTACATTTCTTACTAAATAATTTAATGTTATATTTTTTATAAAACAATTTAATTAGATTTATATAAACTGCATTGAAAACTATTTAAATCTCTTTGGTAATAAATAAATGTACTTACCACTATAATTTTCAGCTTCTATTTGAAAAACAAATCTTTGAGTGTATTAGAGCTTATTTGGATGAAGTTATGTTTTGCTCTGACAAATAAATACTTATGTTGAATAATTTATTTATCACAAATTTGCCTTGCAAACATGATAACATTTTTATTTAGTTTCTTAACCTGATAACCAGTAATATATATGCTGATAGTTCATCACTAATGGATTTAAATAATTAACAATTAATAATTAAAAGATCGTTTATTTTCCTAAATACAATAATTGTTTATTAAAATTATCAATATAAATACTATCTAAAACTGAACTAATTTGTCTCATTCTTAGCCTGATAACTCAGCAACTCAGGGTTCTGCTTAACCTGTGCAATATACTCCTCGGCCATGCAACAAGCCTGTTCAATTTCATAATTGTGTGACACCAGGGCCACCCATTTAGCCTCCAATGCTTTCAATTGCTCGCCACCTTTAGTCTGCAACGATTTTCTCTGCCAATTAACCTCCTGCAACATCTGCCGCAGCTCCGACAACTTTTTCGACGCTATTTTCTCCAAATCCGTCAAAGTTTGAAGGTACCTTTGCCATGCCGGGCAGCAATACTCCAACATCAGCTGCAAATTCAATATTCGCACCGCCTGGTGTTCCAACTGTGCCTGCGAGTTGTCCACGCACTCCGTCCAAGCGCTTACTTCGTTTAACTTACCGCTAGGAGGCGGTGGCAACTCGTACCGCTTCATGGAAAGGGTGTCCATAGGTAGACGACTCTGCAACCGCTCAAACTCATTGTGCATTATGGGGGTCTCAAACGACGATATATTTAGTGGCGGCAAATGTTCCAAGTAGTTTTTAGTCGGTCTGTAACGCCTACATTCTTCCTCAACCATCGCAAAAGCCTACAACAAGTTAAATCAGTTATGGGTTTTGAAGGTTATAAATATCGGAATATTACGGCTTCTCTAACTCCTGGCTCGTCGTATCCTTGGTCAATGTACGGGAGGGCATCCACAACAACTTCCCCGGCCATTATTTAGTTATAGTTGTTCTTTAATTGGCAATAAATTGAGAAATGTTTGCGAAATGGTCACATAACCTAACAATATAAAAATGTGGTGATTAAAGGAACTTTGTTTGTTTTGACATTTCAAATGTCACATTTGTCTTTAAATTTACCATAAACGCTTTTTACTGATAACGTGCCCTAAAAATGATAATTTTTAATCAGGTTTTTTTGTTCAAGTATTTTTTATTATCGTTTAAATAATTATTTCATTTGTGTATATTTTGTGAATTGTGACTTTAGGCACCGATTTGACAGTTCGGTAACCTCAACAGCCGCTTTTAACGTATTCTGTTATTTTATTGTTTTTTTCAATTAAAATCATGTCAGATTCCGACGATTTGGAAAGTGCGTTGTTACTGGCGGCCGCAGAATCGGATTCTAGAAACATCCAGCCAGAAATCGAGGAAAAAACTGAGGAATTTATAGAGGAAGTTGTTGAGCAAAAATCATCTCCCAAAACTTTAAAGAGAAAAACTCCTGAAACTGCTGAAGAACCTAGCACGAAATTACTGCATAGCAATGAAGGTTTTGCGAAGGTTGTGGCTTACCATTACAATCAATTGGAGGAGAAGGGGCAAGCTGAACGGTCTAAATCTCGTATTGTGCATTTAAGAAATTTTCACAATTGGATTAAAAGTATGCTGATATCGGAATTTATTTCGAAGATTAGGGGCAGCAAATACAATGAACCCATCCGTGTGTTGGATTTGGGGTGTGGAAAAGGAGGTAATATTTTAATTTTTGCTCTGTAGGCTTCATTAATGAAATAGGTGATTATTTAACATAATTTTTTTAATTTAAATTTTATAGGAAAAATGTGTTTTTTATCCTATTGTTTCATAGATGGCGCTCTATACAATTTTTTTATTTAAATTATTTTAAGATAATAATAAGTATTTGTCTTAGAAAAAGTATAGTATGCACCTCGTTTATCAAACTTAATACATAATATACTATTATTCATATAACCACTGTAGTTCAAATATACATTTTAGCAAATTAACCATGGAGAATAATTTGATGTTTGTTGTGTTCTGCTAATAAATAAGTAATTTTTTTGTAACAGGGGACTTATTTAAATGGCAAAAAGCCAACATAAAACATCTGATATGCTCCGACATCGCCGAAGTCTCCTTAGAACAATGCAAACAGAGGTACACTGATATGAAGCATAGAAATAACAGAAATCGTAACGGCGACGTTTTTTCCATTGAATACATCCCAGCGGATTGCACCAAAGCTAGGTTAAGAGAAAAATACAACGACCCCTCGTTGAGGCTCAACTTGGTCAGTTGTCAGTTCGTGTTTCACTACAGTTTCGAGTCCTTACCGCAGGCAGAGAGAATGTTTATGAATGCCGCGGAATGTTTGCAACCGGGGGGTTATTTCATCGGCACCATGCCCGATTCAAACGATATTATCGCTAGAGCGAAAAAAAACAACACCAGAACGTTCGGGAACGATTTGTTCGAAGTGTCTTTGGATTTCGATACGAATGATCCCCCTTTGTTTGGGGGGAAGTATCACTTTCAACTGGACGGCGTGGTGGACTGCCCGGAGTTTTTAGTGCATTTTCCTACGTTCGTGGAGCTAGCCAAAAAGTACGGGCTCAAGTTGGAGAGAAAGGAAAAGTTCTACGATTTTTACGAGAGAGTCAAGGAGGACGGAATGCAGTTATTGACGAACACGAGGAGTTTCGAGGCTTACCCCCCTCCGGAAGGCTCAAGCTTGGTGGGCACTGCCAAAGACGATTATTATCATGCCGATGAGTATTTGAAAAGTAAAGGGAACGTCCAAATAGGAACCCTTTCGAAATCCGAATGGGAAGCTTCATGTAAGTATACTGAAAAATGCAATTTTAATTTATTTTTGACAAATTTCCAAGATACATACACCTTAAGATAGGATGGTGCGCATGTTGGGCGGGGCTTAATTACGTCACTTGATGAGTGTTTTTAAATCTTTAACGTGCTTTTTAATTATCTGCTGCTAAAATTCTTGTTTTTGCGATGCTTTTGGATGTTAACTTGCTCTACTTTTTGTTTAACTTGTCGTTTTTGTGTTCGGTAAGGTTCGAATTACTTTTCAGCGTTCAAATTATTGTTATTGCGTTAGGTTAACCTGTTAGGTTTGTTTATTATTGTTTTTGTGTTGCGTTAACTTGTTTTGTTTGTGTTTTAGATTGTATAGTGCCATTTGCATTTATTAAAATGCGGTGTGGCATATTTGGATGCAATTCGGACAACCAGTCCAAGAAAAACCCTTTAAATAAAAACATTAAATTTAATCGATTCCCGAAAAAGTTTGATTTGTGGAAACAGTGTTTAAATGCCACAAAAATAATAGACAATATTTACGTTAAGACCGCTTCTGTTTCCTATAAACATTTTCTGGACAGTGACTATAAGTTTAATTTAAAACACCAACGCTTAAACTACAGCCCTAAATGTTATCAAGGACTGAAAGCATCTATTATCCATATTATAACACTTTCTTCAATATTAAGTTTAATAAAAACGCACCATGTCCAGAAATTTCTCTACTTTCTTTGATAATATTACTATTATTCGTATATTCGCACGGCAACTACTCATCAAGTGACGTCATGCGCGGGACGAATTAAAACTCGTACACGGAAGCATCCAGCCCCACAAATTTCCGTGTTCCCCCTTTTTGAATTAGTCGTTATATTTCGCTTTCTATTGGTTGAAAAAAATGCTCTTTGTTGTGACGTCACGAATTTCAAAATAGCAAGCTTTCTATTGGTTGGTATATGCAGTGTTGCCAAGTCATCTACTTAATAATTTTACTCCTGTTATATTTATGTCAAAAACGCCCAAACGGGTTATGTACAGACTGTCAATTAAAGACCAAAAAATGTTTTGTTGTTTGGCGTAAGGAAAATAAAAAATGGCGCTAATTGATAAAACAGCACGCCACTTTCCGCTTTTATCTGTTTTAACGTTTTCCCCTCGACATAACCTACAAATGTGCCTTCTTTTGGTTCACATTTGGCACATTCTAAACGTTCTGATTACGCCTCTCCTCTCTTTTTTACACCAAGGTTTAAAATTTATTTGCATTGAAATAGTTATTTCATGCAAGTGTTTAAATTGCTCACGAGGCCGTTAGGCCAAGTGTGCATCAACACGAGCTTGAAGAAAGCTTTTCTCACATATTTTTCCTACGACCCTTTTATTTTATATTATTTTCAAATACAAAACAAAATAACCTAAAAACGTGTTTGACAGCTGTTAAAATTACTTTCATCTTATTTTTTTGATTTTTAAGGTATAAGAGGCCTATTCCGTTTCTTGCTGTTCGTAAACATCGATTTCTTAACATGTATGTTCACCCAACGACAAGCCAAACATTACCTATGTTTAGGGGTATTCCGTTTCTCATATGTTGAGAGTCTTGACCTTGAATCTTTCTGAACAGCGATAAATGTTTTTAGGACAGGGAGTTTCTTAGTTTTATAACCTAAAAGTCGCAGACTAAACTAAAATTGTGTTAGATAATTGTTTTAAACATCATTGGTGATATTTAATATATTAAATGAACTTAAAAACAATTTGGGAAAATCCACAAATTCTAAAAATACCTACTTGGGAAAAACGTTTTATGCTGAACTAGCCAAAGCACAGATCTTCTGGCGGGGCCATTATCCCTATATGGAAAAGGGTAATCATAAAATATCTTAAAATAATTATTTGTTACTTATTTTTACACACTTTTAGTGTATTGAAAACGGCAAGAAAACTACGCATTTCTCACATGGAGACTGGCAATGTCGGGGAGCCAGTAAAACAACTTCATTACTCTAAGGATAAATTACTAGCCCTAATAGAGGAAGCGCTGTGAAAGTTAGTGGTGGAGGGTAAGGTGGAGGTAATACCATCGTTGGAACTCTTCATTGACCAGCCTTTAAGTTCGGGTGGAAGGGTGCCTTCTACAACAGGGACGCATAAAGAGAAAGTCCAACTTAAACTCTGACGAGTAGTGAAGGTGTAGAGGTTTTACAAGGTATTGATAAAACCTAAAAGATTTTAAAATTAAACCAAAAAGTTTTAGCTCCCATGTGAAGAAAAATAGTTTTTAGATGCATATTTTTTTGTATTTTATTAGTTATACTTTTCTTTGACTAATATTTTGTCTATATTTTTGAGTAATAATATTACATAGGTATTTGATATTTTATATTTGTTGTATTTTTTTAATAAAATATATTTTTCCAAGTTATTTTTTATTCTACCAATAAGTATATATATATAGTTTTAGAGGTCGTTTTTAGACACTCTTGTAACATATAAGTCTTGACCTTCCTCCCCCGAAATTCTTTCTTCACACTCAGATTTTTTAAATTTTCTCTTTTTCTCTAAATAAATATTTATTATTATAATAAAATTATATAAAAAAAATTAGTAAAGCAAAATTTGTATTCTGGTATTATAATTAGGAAATACATTTTAATAATTAAAAAACAAATCAAACATATTTTTAAAATTACCAAAAAATATATTATTATTTGTTTGGTGTAAAACCTTATATGATTATTTAATTATTTATCATTTATAATTATAATTAATTAGGTATTAATTATGAAAAAGTAATTAATTTATAATTACTATGCTTGATACTGTACCAAACATCGCCGCAATTTATGATTAATGCAAGATAAAAAACCTTAAATATTGATAAAAAACCTTAAATATTGTCTATAACAGCACCTCTTAGGCAAGCGTTCGTAAACATACGTTTTCAAACATCATGTATGTTCACCAAACATCGAATTTTGGAAACGGAATAGCCATTTTAACACCGATGATGTTTATAAACATGGATGTTTAAGAAATTCTTCGAGCGCATGCGTCTATAGACGAAATAATTGAAAGGGAATAGGCTCATATGTTACGAAACATATGTAGTTCATGAACATGCATGTTTAGCGAAAGGGAATAGGCCTCTAAGTTACTTAAAATCAATAAACTCACCTTCTCAATTTAAATAAAGGCACTAAAAATTAGAATTTAGTATACAAACACATTTAACTGTGTTCTCAATGATATTTAGACAAACATACAAATACAATTCAAATTTTGAAACGAATGTCAAACGATGATGTCAATTTCTTTTCACACAGACCTGCCACTTTTCACACAGAAATGTCACTTTACATTTGTGTTTTGCCTTGCCAATGAAAAGATTCATTTTCTAAGCAACAATGCCATTACGAAATGTGACTTTTACCTAGTGGTCGTAGAAAAAGATAATTTTAATTTATCAAGATTTCAGAAAATGTTTAAATAACTGTTAATAAATAATGAATAATAAACAAAAACATCAATTTCATACTACTACTCAAAAATTAAACACTATAACATTATTTTTACCTGTACACGTACCCAAATACAAATAATAGGTACAACAGGTAAAAATAATAGGCGTTTATTGAAATTCTCCACGTCATTCTGTTTAATTGTTTCTTTACAACAGTGCCTTTTTTACCTAATTTATTTTTTCAGCTCTATACCTAACTTTTGTGTTTGTAAAAGTAAAACCAACTTCATGGAAGAGTGATGGGACTCCAACTTACGATATTTAGAACTTAAATAAGACTACCTAGAAATTTTTATCAAGATTGCTATATTTATGTTTTTTAATAAAGAAGAATCATTTTTATTTGTTGTTTTTATTTATTTATACCTTTATTTTATATTTTATCTACTCCTACATTGACGAGCTGTGACTTTATGGCGTTTTAGTCACGGGCTGAAGTTAGCAACAGTGGCATTTGGACATTTTAGTCACGGGCCCAGAGAGCCATATCAGGTTAAAACATGGCCAAGAATTGCCCATTACCTTTGGAAAAGTTTTGCCAATAAATGTACTATGTAGGACTGTATATTCCTATGGTATTTGTGCAATCGCGATGGCCAACAATAAATGACCAAATTGTGCCCAATAATATGCCAAAGCAGTTTGGATAAATTAGGTAGGTTACCGTTGGTTTAATTTTGGGAATGTTTGGGCATGGAAAAACGATGACAAATTTTTGATGTTTATTTGGGCAATTAAGCTTTTGAAAAATTGACCAAATATTAATATTTGGTCAATTTTTCAAATTGTAAATATTGGTCAAATCGAAAGTATTAACAAATATTATTATTATATTTGAAAATTGGGTAAATAAAAAATTTTGTATTTATATTTTTTAATAATAAAAAAATAAAACAGTATGTTTCAATACTGGAACAGTGGTCAAAAATAATATTAAAAAAAAACAAATGTATAAATAAAAAATATTTAAAATAATCAAAATTGGAAAAAAATATTGTTTTTTTATGTTGAATCCCAAGCAGTGATTTAATTGTTTTTTTGCAATAAGGCTTTTTTTTATTTCGGACCCGTTGCTTCGCGTTGTTTAAGGCCACGTCAAAGGACCTCTGGAATTCTAAAGCCCCTGGAGGAGGAAATTTATCATGTTCATGTAAACTCTCTAAAAAATACTTTAAGTAACAAAATTGTCTAGGAAATAATATTAAAATATAAAACATACGGTGAATGGCTTGTAGGATTTTTGTTTTGGACACTCCAACACCAGCACGTCCAGTGCGCATTATTTTGGAAGAAACTTCATCTGAGAAGGCTTCTTTGACAATTAAATTCACGCTGCCTACGACGTCATCGTCAGCGACAAATTTAAAGTAGCTAACCTATAACATAACAATATAAAAACACAAGTCTTAAAACGTATTTTGGAAGTGAAAACCATTTTTTGATACATCTTTACAAAAAAGTGTTATTTTTCTATGAAGAATGCACTGTTTAAGTTTGGCCCCCTAATTTCAGGACACCCTGTATACCTATCTATAGATTTCTTTAAGTGCAGATGTATTCTTGGTTGACTTTTTCTTGTTTGACGGGTCAACACAAATTGTGTTACACAATTTTTTAAATTAAATTACCTATGTTACGTTTCATTACATTACTTTAAATGCTGGCTAAATCCACCTTTATACTTACTTGTTATAATATTATGATACAAATAGAATTACGATCAGGCTATCAAGAATTATGCTTTATTAAACATTAAGAAAAATAGTTTGTGATTGGTAACTTTATGTTATGAAGAACTTTAAAAATAAAAAAGAAAAAAATTTTAAATTCAATAAAAAAATTGCAATTACCTTGCTCACTTCTAGCACGATAGATCTTAAAACCCAATAAATCCTCTTTTTCCTTCGTGACATATAGGTAGAAAATTTATTTTGAAATTGTCCTGCTTGTAGTAAAAGCCTAGTACCCATAAACACTATTTACCTAGAAAAAGGCAGTTATTTTTCTTCACTGCAACTTCAAGATGAAAATCTGTAACAATTAACAAAAAATAAGTACATAATATAGAACTACCAATGTAAATTTATATTACCTACTTCAAAATTAATAAGGGTATAAAATCTTCGAGAAGTAAGAAATTGTATAATAATTGAATGTTTTATTAAAAACTTTGAAAACATATATGGTATACCTAACCTTAATTACTTACTCAAAATTTAAAGCCGTTTAAAACTTAACACGTTTAGTTAGTGCACAGATGATTATATTTTTTTGTAATAACTATCACACAAGCACTTTTTGACGCCTTTTTGTAGAGAAGGTCTTGAAATATTAACGACATATAACTCGCCATTGCGATTCTTTTTCCATGCTGATCAATTATTTGCCAAGTCTGTGTGCCAAGTTTCGATCAATCTGAATTACAAACGCTTTGCCAATTTTCGACCAAACTTCATTACAAACGACGTTGGCCAATAATAACTCTATCTAGGACTGTATATTTGTGTAGTTGTTGTGCTATCGCATTGGAAAATAATTTGGCATAAAACATGTCAATTTTTGGTCAAACTTTATGAAAATTCAATTAATATGTCCAAATAAACCCCAATAAATGTAAAATATCGTAGTCCAAACTTAGTTGGGAAAAAGTTGACTAATTTCTTTCCCAAAGCATGGCTCTCTGGGGGCTGGCGTTAGCTTTATTATAAATTGGGAAATAGTGAGGTTAAATTCGGGTGACAGTTGACAGATGTCAAATTTTTACCAAATAAAATTGGCTTTAAATGCTTCTTCGTCGTAGATAAAGTATAGTACGCAACTCGTTTTATAAACTTTTCTAAACACTCCAACTTTGCTCGTACCAATAGAATTCGTAACTAAAATGGCGTTTATAAAACTTGGAACATGATATACCATTAAACCACAATTTATTTTGCAAAGAAGTGAAAATAATTAATTAAAAATATAAATATCAATAAAACTAAAAAAATGCGTATTAAAAGAAAACCACGCTAAAAATAGTATATTATTATTATTATTAATTTTTTTCTATTCTAATTTAATAATTTTCAAAAATCTGTCAAATGAATCTAACCCCACTTTCTCCCAATTTTAAAGATTCCCTTTTGGATTGATCCAAATACCAGGGGCGGCTATGATAATTTTGTATTACTTAATTTAAAAATACATAAATCGTAACGCCTATGAATGGACAAAATGTACGACGTATGTCAAAATTATAATGACAGACGTCAAAAACTTCACAGATAAATTTTATTACTACTTAAAATTTAGCGAGTATAACGTCGAGTTATTATTGAAAGTGACTTTCTAAAGCGTTGCACAATAAGTTGTGTGCGAAAAAATTCGCAATTGCCCGGAGGCCAGCTGATTTTGACGCAAAAGTTGAATGGACGAATGTCGCCCGAATTCAAAAGTTCGCGCCGCAAAGGTTATTGCCATTAGTCCGCGCGCGCGCACGGGGGCAAATCGAGAACTCTGAGCGTTTCCCATCCGGCAGCGGGCGAGCTGCAGAAACGGCAAAGTGTTAGTTTCTGGCCGCAACCTGTGTCGTTATGGACGTGGAAAACGCTGCTAATGGGGAACATGCCGCTCCGGTAAGTCGAAAATTATTCATCTCTCGTTATTTGCCGTCGATTGGCCGGCGCAGATTTTCGCGGTTCTCTGATTAAAAGCCACTTTCCTGGTGACTTTCACGATGCAAGCGAAATTTTTCTAAGTCCCAAAATGGCGTCAGAGACTAAGTCCCCACGTACAATACACTGCAACACACGCGTTCATTAAACGGCCCAAATTTCGATTTTTACGTAATGCACGTCGAGCATTACGTTGCAATTGAATAATTAAGCCTTATTTAATTAATTTGAGTCGGAATAAAACGTGGTTTTGTTGTATTTAGGAAAGTAACGGCGATTCTAAGCATGTGAACGGTTTAAACGGCTACTCGGACAAACACAAAAGCCAAAAGTCCGATCACAAGGACAAGCATCGCGATAAGGAACGGGATAGGGATAAGGATAGGAAAAAGGACCATAAGTCCTCGAGCAAGGACAAAGACAGGCACCACTCCAGCTCGAGAGACAAGGACAAGGAACGCCACAGCTCTTCGTCTCACAAGTCCTCCAGCAAGGACAAGGACCGAAGTGATAGGGACAAGGACAGGCACCGCGACAAGGATAAGGACCGTCACAGGGACGAAAAAAAATCCTCTTCCTCCTCGAAAGATCACAAGAGCAGCTCTCACGACAAGAACCACAAGTCCAGCTCGAGAGACAAAGACAAGGATAAGGAGAGGCGCGACAAGGATAAAGAGAGAGAGAAGGATAAAGACAGGCATAGGGATAAGGAGCGTAGTGATAAGCACACCAGTTCAAAGGACAAATACCGGGACAAGGAGAGAGAAAAACATTCCAGTTCCAAGGATAAGGATAAAGACAGGAAGGATCGAAAAGACAAACATAAAGGTAAGACATGCATGAATCATTATTCAAGCAAACTGTTTAATAATTGATATTAACTAAAGAGTAGTTTTATCAAAATATTTGGTACAGATTTACTTTGTGTTGCAAATTGTGGTTTTCTTAAAATTAATGTATTGGTTTAATTCAAGATAATTCAATAAACCAGCTAATAAAGAATTTTGTTGAATTTCCAGTGAGTCACCTTGAAATGAACGTTTTTACTGATTGTTACATATTAATTCATTTGATTATTATTATTAGAATAAAAAATTATTATTCTCTATAGAGGCTTGCAGTTTAATAATATTATACAATGTGATAAAAAATATTAGATAAAAACACCCACAAAAATAGTGTTATCTATGTCCATCCCAAATTAAAGATTCAGCTTTGTGCACAAAGAAGTTACATTTTGCCATAAAATGCCATTCATTCATTTTAATGAAAAAAATTAAATTTGTTTATCCAGAGGCAAGCGAATAAAAAAATTAATTGAATAAAAAAATTAATTTTTTTTCTTGAAAATTTTATAAAATAAAGAAAAAATGCGGATTAACTAAATTAAATTTAATTACATTAAATTAATTCCCGGCCTAGGAGTTTAATAGTTTAATAACTATGGACTGCTAAATTTTCCCCTGTATACTTAAAACCCGCGTTACAGCAAAATTAATGACATAACCTCTGCTACCTCATGATCTCCTGATATGGTTTTATATTTTCTGTGACCCAATTTTAATAATAATTTTGCAAGAATTACAAATAATATTACGATAAATTTAAAAAAAAATCCGTTTTTTTAGGGAAATTTCAAACACTATTATAAAGTAGCATTTTTTACACTTTCTATAGTTTTTTTTTAAATCAAATCTCACATGTGATTAAATATTCTAAACAACCCAATTTTAATAATGATTTTGTGAGAATCACAAATATAACAATAAATTTAAAAAAAAATCCGTTTTTAAGGAAATTTTAAAGACTATGATAAAGTAGCATTTTTGACACTTTCTATAGTATTTTTCGAGGTATTTTTTTAAGCAAATCTCACATGTGATTAAATATTCTAAACAACCCAATTTTAATAATGATTGCAAGAATATTATTACGATAAATTTAAAAAAAAACGTTTTTAAGGAAATTTTAAAGACTATGATAAAGTAGCATTTTTGACACTTTCTATAGTATTTTTTTATTCAAATATCACATGTGATTAAATATTCTAAACAAATCAATTTTAATAATGATTTTGCAAGAATCACAAATATTATTACGATAAATTTAAAAAAAAAAAACGTTTTTAAGGAAATTTCAAAGACTACATAGTCTTTGAAATTTCCTCATATCATATGATAAAGTAGCATTTTTGACACTTTCAATTTAATAATTAATAATGATTTTGTAAGACTTACAAATAATAATACGATAAATTTAAAAAAAAAATCGTTTTTTTAAGAAATTTTAAAGACTAACTCTTAAAATGAATTAGTCAAAAATGACTAATTTAATAGTTATTAGTGGCTGCTTTTTCACTTGTACCATGGAATACCATGCTATCCCAAAATATAAAAGCAGCCACTAATAACTATTAAATTAGTCATTTTTGACTAATTCATTTTTAGAGAGATGATAAATTAGCATTTTTGACACTTTCTATGGTATTTTTCGAGGTATTTTTTTAAGCAAATCTCACATGTGATTAAATATTCTAAACAATCCAATTTTAATAATGATTTTGTAAGAATCACAAATATTATTACGATAAATAAAAAAAAACTGTTTTTTTAAGGAAATTAAAACACTATGATAAAGTACCATTTTTGACACTTTCTGTAGTATTTTATTAAGCAAATATCACATGTGTTTAAATATTATTACGATAATTTTTTTAAAAATTCCTTTAAAAAAAAATCGTTTTTTAAAGAAATTTCAAATACTATAATAAAGTAGCATTTTTGACACTTTCTTTAGTATTTTTTTATGCAAATCTCACATGTGATTAAATATTCTAAGCAACACAATTTTAATAAAATCTTTATTATTGTTACGGATGACACTTTTCTTTTTACAATAACTAAAGACGAAAGACGCGATAAAGAGAAGCCGGAAGTGAAACAGGAACAGGAAACGGAAGACTCGATCGACGGCGAGGCAAAGTTGGTGATCAACGATGACGTCAACGTCGAGGACGACGCGGTCGACGTCAAGGACGAGCCGATGTCGCAGGAGGAGGAAGAGGACGAAAACGGGCCGGACGTGTCGCAGGCCAGCAGCTGCAACTACAACTTGTCGCAGTTCGACAAGGACGAACCCAAGTTCGAAGAAGACGAGAGCCAGGACGTCAAGCCGAAAGTCGAAGAGGACAGCGAAGAAGACATTCCGTTGGTGAGTGCAAAAAAAATACAGCCCGTTCAGAGTAAAACCGAATATATCTATATATACAGGGTGTTATGTAATTAATGTTATATATTAAAATACTGAATACCTTTTGACATAAGGAATAAAGGAAAAATATTTTAAAAAGCATTTTTCCAAAGATAAAGAAAAAATATGCATTAGAAGTTTTTTATATTTTTTGTGATACGCCACTGGTTACACACTTGTTTATCTCTGCACACCTGTATTTTGTGAGTACATAGATACCAACCAACAAAGTAGCTATGCGTTGCCAAATGTAAAAAATTGTTACTAAAATTTTTTCTTGCAAAAAATAAATAAAAACTCAATAAATACAAAAGTTTTATGCCCTTAAAGCTCTAATACCCTTCTGTATTTATTTACTGATCCAGCTATTAGCTTAAGCAATGATTAGAAAATTTAGTACCTTTGAAAATTGAAATCCATAACCACAAAATTAATTTTTTCATCAGTTTTTTTCTCTGTTTACTCAGATGAAATTGGGACCAGTTCACAGGTTAAACTTTAAACATTTAATTTGTGTAAATAAATCCAAAAGCACTTTCCTTAGTTAAGATATTTACAATTTGAAAACATAACCTAAAATTTAAAAGAAATGCACTAGATTCTGTCATAAAAGTTGTCAGATTTTGTTTGAATTTACCTTCAGTACAAAAATGAAATAACCAACAATTAATAAAAACGCCAAATTCACAATTTGCATTGTTAATTAGGTCATTTTTGTAATTAAGCTAAATTTAAACAATGTTTGTCAACTTTTTTGAGAGATTTTGGGAACACTGTTACCAACCATAACATAATAAATCCACCAGATTAACCTAAAGTTCCTAGTCGATCAGTGGCGTACTTTTTGGTAGGATAAAGGTTATTATAAATTATTTTTAGACTTTGGAATTTAGAAAAAAAAAGTTTCAGGTGCTTCTTTATGGACCCTAAGGAACAACCCATTTTAATATATAACATTAATTACATAACACCCTGTATAGATATATTCGGTTTTACTCTGAACTACTCATTATTGATGTATTTTACACTTACTCACTTTCAAAATTTTATGCATAATACGATTTTTTTATAGAAACAGGACACACTTTAGTTTTGTCTATAACTTTACGTGTATTTATTCCTGTATTTTCTTACATTTCAGACTAACAAAGGCAGGGTATGTCACAATTCAAATATTTTTTGTAGATTTAGTTTTGCGTGTTTTTTTTTTATTTTTGGCATGTTTTTCTTTGTTAATTTTGTCACAAAAATATATCGTTTATATTTTTCATTTTTACTTAAAAATTGTTAAAATGATAAAAAGGTTATGCTTGTACAAAATTTTACCGCATATGTATCACATATACAAAAGTTGATGATAACCAAAATACAGTTATTTTTATTAAATAACTTTGGGAAAAAAACAAACGTTTTGCACAAAATTTAATATTTGGCAGTTTTATAGGACAGCAAAAATATATTTCTTAAAAAATTAATGTTTGCGAAACTTTCGTCCAGAAAAAAAACGAATATCAAATTTTTTGCAATTTTGTTTCATAAAATCTTGGTATTATCAACTTTTGTAAATTTAGGTAAATCGCATTTTTGTACAGGCATTTCAGGTACACCTTGTATAACTTAGAAAGAGTTCCATAAAGTAGACAGGTCAAAAAATTATTGGGGATTTTTTTTTTAATTTTCGGGTTTCAAATTTTTTTCCAACGATTATGTTGTTTTTTGAATAATTATTTTACTGTTTACCAATTTTTCAAATTCCCAAATCCTGGCAAGATATAGCACTTTTTAGTAAGCCAATCAGATCGCGGCATTTCCTTAGTACATGTTGAGTTTATTTCATTTAAATTTTACGAAAATTGTTATAAATACATAAGCAGACAATTTTTTTTTATATTCAGAATAATATTAATCTGTCCACAATCAATGCAACAAGGTCTGTTCTATATATAGAAACGAGATATAAAACGATGATTAATCTGTATACTCTAAAGAAGCATCGCTAGTAGCGCCACCACTCGGCTGTTATCATCGTAACAAAACAACTTTTGATAATCAGCTGTCAAACGCGTGTGTTACAAACGAGTGTTTTTGAGAATAAAGCCGAAAATGTTAAAAAAATATCGAAAAAAAACCGTGGCACGATTTGTTGTTTGTTGGGTGTATTTCGAGGGGAAATCCTGGGTTGAGTTTTAATCGGTTTTCCAATAAACAGTGTTACCTAATCCGAATGAAGAAATAAATTTCATACAGTCCCTGTAAATATAAATTGTACCTATTAGATAAACATAAACATTTCAATTAAGTAATAATCGTCAAACAAATAAGCCGTCTAAATTTAAACAGCATTTAGCATTATTAAAAGCGTTGATTAAGAAAGTCTCCACTCAACAGTAAAATACCATTATATTATGTATTGTATATAATATTATGTTGCTATAAATTCGTAGGTATATTTTGTTGTTTAAAATTCAGTTGTCGGCGTTTTTTAGAGCACTCAAACATAAAAATGGTTGATTTTAAGGTTATGTTGTGCAAAAATTAATTTTTACTAATTTCTTAAAAATGCACAAACTTAAATATAAATTATATTAGGTAAAGTTATCATTAGTTAATTCTGCACCAACAAATGTACTTACCGAATTGGATCCTTTGGCAAAACATGAAAATGCAACTATTAGTTTTTGAATTTTATTTACAATTAAAAACACATTAATTCACCATGATCCCTTTGATAAAATACACACACTAACGTAACTATATAAGCATTTAAGCGTTGAGTTTCTTAATCAATGATATAAGGAATAATAACATAATCAGTCCACCAGATGGCGCGCGTATATGACAGACTTTATGTTAAACTTAACAAACGTAAACTTCGATCTGGTTTTAAAACCAGATCGAATCTGTCCCTTTGACATTTCGAAGCGTTGCATTTCAAACGCAATGTAAAATTTTCGGTTGCTTTCGACATTTTTTCAAAAACACTTTCGGCATGGCTTGCGAAAACGATTCTCTCTTGCACTCCGAACCCCGCGCGAAATGACCGACGTGCTGGTCGAACGGAGAAAATCTTTGCCTCGACACGAAGCGTACGTTTCTCTTCGAGAAAAGTTGCGGCGGCTCGCGAAAACACTTCGATCGTGCTCCGATAAATTATCGCTGAATTTTGTTGCGCAGTCCTCCAGACTGAGCGCATCGTCGAAGAGGAAATTCGAGTCGGACGAGGACGACGACGTGCCTCTCAGCGCGCGAAAAAAGCCCAAGAAAGAGAAGAAGGAGAAGAAGAAGAAGAAGCGCCCGGTTTCCGACGACGACGAGGAGGCCGAGGAAGACTGCAAACCGGTCAAGAAGGAGAAGATCAAGAAGGAAAAGCCCGTGAAGAGGGAGCAGGAAAGTCCGAAGAAAGGAGGCCGCAAGAAGAAGGAGGAAGAGCCGCAGGAAGTCTGGAAATGGTGAGTTTCGAATTCAAAGTTCAAACAGCGCGCCTTTTTTCGGCCGGTATTTCAGATCCCTGCATGTTCTGTCAACGACGTTATGTCACAACAGCGTGCATTGTAACGTTAATTTTGCTAAATGTACGGAGCTATGTTGTGGTTTAAGCTGAGAAACGTTGTGAAAATACATTGCGCGTGCACAATGCACAAAACTGTGCCCATCTGGGAAGTAGTTAATTTTAGGGTTAGGTTGAAAAGTACAATCATTACTCCCGATGTAAATAGACCGAGAATTGCTTTAAGTGATATAAAAAGTGTGATATTAACTGAAAATAAATGTAGTTTAATTGATCATGTAAAGAAAATTAAGTTGAAACATAAAAAGTCAAGATCGAGAAAGAGGTAAAAATGGGTAATATATTTTTTTTATAATTTACAATTAAAGCATGAAATTCAAAGCTCCCAAGTTTAAACCCCAGACCATGAACAAACAGTAATAATAATGGATGAAAATATTTGTTTGGAAAACTAACTTTTTTCAATATTCCTAGAAATAACGAAATTATAACAATTTTTGACTTGACAGGTTTCAGATTTTTTTAAATATTTCTGCTCTCGATTTTTTTAGCTTTAAATTTTAAGGGTCTATGCAGGAACACAAAACATCCAATTTCAGCACTTTTTATCCAATTTTATATATGGTTATTCACATTACAAATATATTACTTTTTTGATCTATATTATTATTATATGTATTTTATTCCTTTTAATTTGTACCTAAAATATATTTAATCCCAAATTTTCCTTTTTTTTTTCGAAAAAAAACGGTTTTTTTTTCGCCGGGTCAATTTTTAAACCGTATTTTTTTGTTGTTTTTTTGGCGAATATTCAAAACGTTCTTGCATCTCATTTTTATCAAAAACGGTTTTAGATTCAGGGGGTATTTAGTAGAGTGGGCCAAAAAACCATTTTCAAAAAAATAAAATCTAAAAAAAATTTTTTTTTGTAAAACGGCATTTTTTTGACAATTGTACTACTGTGACAATTATATTTTGAGTTTTTTGCATTTTTAACAAAATTTTAACCAAGACAAACTTTTTTTTACTAAATATATATTTGGTGATCCAAAATGTTGAACCGTTTTAAACAAATTATATAAAAAAAATATTTATAAATCCTAGTTTTATAATTTATTTTAAAGCATCAACATTATGTGAACCATAAGAACAAAAATTTGCGCATGAAAAAACCCGTCAACATTTCTGAATATTTGACGGATTTTTCTTACAACTTGCGCTATATAAAACTACAGGATTGGTTTCGCTAGCACCACAAGGATTTTATCTGATGAGTGGGGTTTGATAGTAGCCTTTCCACATTTATATTTGAAAATTTTGAAAAAAATTGACTTTATTGTTTTTTTCGTATTACCCTTTGAATAAAATTTTAAAAATGCAAAAGTCAATTTTTCTGAAAATTTTCCATTTTTATTATTATCAAAATCGAAAATTCACTTTTTTCTTGATATCAGGGTACAGATATTTGGAAATTTTCCAAAAAATTTACTTTATTATTTTTTTCGTTTACCCTTTAAATAAATTAAAAAAATGCAAAAGTCAATTTTTCTGAAAATTTCACAATTTTATTATAATCATGTAAATGATTATAATCAAAGTCGAACATTCACTTTTTTCTTAATATCAGATATTTGTAAATTTTCGAAAAAAACACATTTGAAAAAGTAGCAATCAACAACTTAACATTATTTTAATTTAAAAATATGTATATCCTTTATTACAGAAAAAAATCAAACTTAATATTAAATTAAAATAAATTGAAAAAATTTTTCTAAAAATTTCATAATTTTATTATAATCATGTTCTATATGATTATAATCAAAGTCGAAAATTCACTTTTTTCTTGATATCAGTACAGATATTTGGAAATTTTCAAAAAAAATGCAAGCCATTTTTTTTTGGAAAATATACACATTTGAAAAAAGTAGCAATCAACAACTTAACATTATTTTAATTTAAAAATATATCCTTTATTACAGAAACAAAAATTAAAACCAAATATTAAATTAAATTGATTTAAGAAAATAAAAGTTTGTTCAATATACTGTTGTGTCTTTTTTGCAAAAATGAGTCCATTTAAAGTTTCAAAAAATTTGTATATTTTCAGAAAAATTTACTTTTGCACTTTGTTTGTATTAGTAATACAAAGAGAAGTAAAAAAACGGTTTTTTTTTCAGATGTGAAAAAAAACATGAAAAAACGGTTTTTTTTTTGTTTTTTTTAAATCCGCTCCAATAAAGCATATTATGTCAATAAATAACATCAATCTTAAAAAATTGAGTAATTTTTCAAAATGAAATTTAGAGTAAAATGTATATTATTAATAAAAGTGAAATGTAGAATATATTACATTTTTCATTATTGAAAATTTTGACCGAGACTAAAAAATCTGATTTCTTATTATTTGGTAGTTTCCACATAAGAAACTTCTACACTAATAGAAAAAATTATGGATAAAAAAAATTCCAAATTTTTTGCGATTTTTCGGATTATTATAATCAAAGTCGAAAATTCACTTTTCCCAAAAAATGCAAGTCAATTTTTTTTTTGGAAAATATACATATTTGAAAAAAGTAGCAATCAACAAATTAACATTATTTTAATTTAAAAATATTTCCTTTATTACAGAAACAAAACATAAAACTAAAAATTAAATAAACGTTTGTTCAATATACTGTTGTGTCTTTTTTTTTGCAAAAATGAGTCCATTTAAAGTTTAAAAAAATTTGTAAACTTTCATAAAAATTGACTTTTGCATTTTGTTCGTATTACTCTTTGAATAAAATGTTAAATATTGCAAAAATCAATTTTTTTGAAAACTTCCCAAAAAAACGTTTTTCCGCCGGGTCAATTTTCAAACCGTATTCTTTTGCGAAGGTGGGAGGAAGAAAAGAAAGACGACGGCACTAAATGGTCGTTCCTCGAGCACAAAGGTCCCGTATTCGCCCCGCCGTACGAGCGCCTCCCCAAAAACGTAAAATTCTCGTATAACGGCGAAGAGATGCGCCTGTCGGAGGAAGCGGAAGAGGTGGCCGGTTTCTACGCCAAAATGCTCGACCACGACTACACGACCAAGGAGGCCTTCAACAAGAACTTCTTCAAGGACTGGCGCAAGTGCATGACGGAGAAAGAGAAGGCCAAAATCACTGAACTCAAAAAGTGCAACTTCAAGCACATGCATGCCTACTTCATGGACGTGGCCGAGAAGAACAGGAACAGGACCAAGGAGGAGAAGCTGGCGCTGAAGGAGAAGAACGAAGAACTACTGAAAGAGTACGGCTTCTGCAAAATCGACGGACACAAGGAGAAGATCGGTAACTTCAAGATCGAACCGCCAGGTTTGTTTAGAGGTAGAGGCGAGCACCCCAAGATGGGGATGCTGAAGAAACGCGTGGAGGCTGAGGACATCATCATCAATTGCAGCAAGGATTCCGAGGCGCCAAAACCACCACCAGGTAGGAAAAACTCCACAGTTATTCTTACATTTTTTGCAGCTCGTCATTTATTAAACATTTAAATGTTATGGGTCCAAGGGTGGATCCTTGAGGTACCCTGTAATAATTTTCGTAAAAATCAAGATAAAAACTATTTTTATTTGGCGAATATTCATCTAATTTTTATCAAAATCTGACAAAAAACCGTTATCAAACCAAGACAAACCTTTTTTTGCTAAATATATATTTGGTGATCCAAAATGTTGAATGGTTTTAAACAAAGTATATAAATATAAATCCTAGGTTTATAGTTTTATAATTTGTTTTAAAGCATCAACATTATGTGAACCATAAGAACAAAAATTTGCGCATGAAAAAATCCGTCAACATTTCTAAATATTTGACGGATTTTTCTTACAACTTGTGCTATATAAAACTACAGGATTGGTTTCGCTAGCACCACAAGGATTTTATCCGATGAGTGGGGTTTGATAGTAGCCTTTCCACATTTATATTTGAAAATTTTCAAAAAAATTGACTTTATTTTTTTTCGTATTACCCCTAAAATTTTAAAAAATGCAAAAGTCAATTTTTCTGAAAATTTCCCAATTTTATTATAATCATATGATTGAGAGTTGAAAATTTACTTTTTTCTTGAAATCAGTGTTCAGATATTTTAAAATTTTTCTGAAAATTGACTTTAATATTTTTTTCGTATTACCCTTTGAATAAATTTAAAAAATGCAAAAGTCAATTTTTCTGAAAATTTCCAATTTTATTATAATCATGTATTATAGATTATAATCAGAGTTGAAAATTCACTTTTTTCTTGATTTCAGTGTACAGATATTTGGAAATTTTCCAAAAATTGACTTTATTTTTTTTTCATATTACCCTTTGAATAAAATTTAAAAAATGCAAAAGTCAATTTTTCTGAAAATTTTTCAATTTTATTATAATCATGTATTCCTATATGATTATAATCAGAGTCGAAAATTCACTTTTTTTTTAAATCAGTGTTCAGATATTTGGAAATTTTCCAAAAAATTGACTTTAGGGCCATTCCACGCTTAACGGATAGGACAGTTGCCGTGTTTTTATTTACAAAATAATATTGTTCTATTAAGACAGTCAACCACGATACCTAATTTTGCCAAATAAAAACCTTGTTAAACAGCTGTAGTTTAGAACTATTTATAAAAATTTGACATTGGTAATATTATAGAACAATATTATTTTGTAAATAAAAACACGGCAACTGTCCTATCCGTTACACGTGGAATGTCCCTTTATTATTTTTTTTCATGTTACCCTTTGAATAAAATTAAAAAAATGCAAAAGTCAACTTTTCTGAAAATTTCCCAATTTTATTATTATAATCAGAGTCGAAAATTCACTTTTTTCTTAATATCAGTGTACAGATATTTGGAAATTTTTCTGAAAATTTTCCATTTTTATTATAATCAAAATCGAAAATCACTTTTCTTGATATCAGTGTAAATTTTTCTGAAAATTTCCCAATTTTATTATATCATGTATTATATGATTATAATCAGAGTTGAAAATTTACTTTTTTCTTGATATCAGTGTACATATATTTGGAAAATTTCCAAAAAATTGACTACTTTTTTTTTCATATTACCCTTTGAATAAAATTTAAAAAATGCAAAAATCAATTTTTCTGAAAATTTTTCAATTTTATTATATATTTTATTATATTTGTAAATTTTCCAAAAAATTGACTATTATTTTTTCTTATTACCATTTGAATAAAATTAAAAAAATGCAAGTCAATTTTTCTGAAAATTTTTCAATTTTATTATAATCATGTATTATATGATTATAATCAGAGTCGAAAATTCACTTTTTTCTTAATATCAGTGTACAGATATTTGGAAATTTTTCTGAAAATTTTCCATTTTTATTATAATCAAAATCGAAAATCACTTTTCTTGATATCAGTGTAAATTTTTCTGAAAATTTCCCAATTTTATTATATCATGTATTATATGATTATAATCAGAGTTGAAAATTTACTTTTTTCTTGATATCAGTGTACATATATTTGGAAAATTTCCAAAAAATTGACTACTTTTTTTTTCATATTACCCTTTGAATAAAATTTAAAAAATGCAAAAATCAATTTTTCTGAAAATTTTTCAATTTTATTATAATCATGTTTTATATGATTATAATCAGAGTCGAAAATTCACTTTTTTCTTAATATCAGTGTACAGATATTTGGAAATTTTTCTGAAAATTTTCCATTTTTATTATAATCAAAATCGAAAATCACTTTTCTTGATATCAGTGTAAATTTTTCTGAAAATTTCCCAATTTTATTATATCATGTATTATATGATTATAATCAGAGTTGAAAATTTACTTTTTTCTTGATATCAGTGTACATATATTTGGAAAATTTCCAAAAAATTGACTACTTTTTTTTTCATATTACCCTTTGAATAAAATTTAAAAAATGCAAGTCAATTTTTCTGAAAATTTTTCAATTTTATTATAATCATGTATTATATGATTATAATCAGTCGAAAATTCACTTTTTTCTTGATATTTGGAAACTTTTCAAAAAATTGACTTTATTTTTTTTTTCATGTTACCCTTTGAATAAAATTTAAAAAATGTAAAAGTCAATGTTTCTGAAAATTTCCCAATTTTATTATAATTTATAATCATGTATTATATTATTATAATCAGAGTGGAAAGTTCACTTTTTTCTTGATATCAGTCTACAGATATTTGAAAATTTTCAGAAAAATTAACTTTATTATTTTTTTCGTATAACCCTTTGAATAATTTTAAAAAAATGCAAAAGTCAATTTTTCTGAAATTTTTTTAATTTTATTATAATCATGTATTATATGATTATAATAATCAAAGTCGAAAATTCACCTCCTCAAACAAAAAACAAAATGTTCTTGGTCGAAAAAAAAAAATAATCTCGATAATTTATATGAAAGGTCACAAGTGGAAAGAGGTGCGTCACGACTCGTCGGTAACTTGGCTAGCGTCGTGGACGGAAAACGTCCAAAACCAGGTCAAATACATAATGTTGAACCCCAGTTCGAAACTGAAGGGCGAAAAGGACATGCAAAAGTACGAGACGGCCCGCAAGCTGCACAAAAACATCGAGAAAATCCGCAAGGACTACCGCGACGACTGGAAGTCGAAGGAGATGCGCATCCGGCAGCGCGCCGTCGCTCTCTACTTTATCGACAAGCTAGCTCTCAGGGCCGGTAACGAAAAGGACGAGGATCAGGCGGACACGGTGGGTTGCTGCTCGTTGCGCGTGGAGCACATCGAGCTGCACGAGCAGAAGGACGACAAGGAGCACGTCGTGGTGTTCGACTTCCTCGGTAAGGACTCGATCAGGTACTACAACGAGGTGCCGGTCGAAAAGCGCGTCTTCAAGAACCTGCAGCTGTTTATGGACAACAAGGCGCCCGGCGACGATTTATTCGATAGACTCAATACCTCCATCATGAACAAGCATTTAAACGATCTGATGGAGGGTCTGACCGCCAAGGTTTTCCGTACCTATAACGCTTCGTGGACGCTGCAGCAGCAGTTGGATTTGTTGACGAACGAGGACGACACCGTGGCCGAGAAGATTCTGTCGTACAACAGGGCGAACAGGGCGGTCGCCATTCTCTGCAACCATCAACGGTCCGTGCCGAAAGGTAAGAGAAAATTTTTATGTTTTTTTTTAAATTTTATCCTAGTTTCAACATTTTTAACTGTGATACTAAGAAACACCCTTAAGGAATACCAAATTACAATATTTTCAGTATTTTTGTTTTAACTGGATTTTATTTCATTTATTTTGGATATTTTCAAGATTTTATCATGGTTTCATCTTTTTTAACTGTGATACTAAGAAACACCATTGAAAAATACCAAATTACAATATTTTAAGTATTTTTGTTGGAACTGAATTTTATTTCTCTTATTTTGAATATTTTTAGGATTTTATCATAGTTTTATCATTTTCAACTGTGATACTAAAAAATACCAAATTACAATATTTTCAGGATTTTATCATATTTTCATCATTTTTAACTTTGATACTAAGAAACACCATTGAAAAATACCAAATTACAATATTTTTAGTATTTTTGTTTAAACTGGATTTTTCTTTATTTATTTTGGGCATTTTCGAGATTTTATCATAGTTTTATCATTTTTAACTGTCATACTAAGTTTGAAGAAACATCTTTGAAAAATATCAAATTACAATATTTTCAGTATTTTTGTTTGAACTGGATTTGTTTTCATGTATTTTGGATATTTTCAGGATTTTATCAAAGTTTCATAGTTTTTAACTGATACTAAGAAAATATCGTTTTTCTCAATTTTAAAATATTTATTTAAGATTTGGTGGCAAGAAATTTTATTAACCCAGAGAAAAATTTACATTGATGTATTTTTCAATAAATAAGTGAAAAAATATGATACAAACCACAATCCACACAACAAGGTCTGTTCGATATTCTTAAAATACGAACGAAAATCAGTACTGTTATGCGCACATACGGCTACCGCCATATTTGATTTATTTGCCGCCGTTAATTTAAATTACCCAAAATAGTAATTCTGTCTAACAGGCATGGAAGAAGTAAACAAAGTTTTTTTTAAGTTTTAAAGAAACTGAAAATGTTTTTTAACATTATAAGATTTGTAAAATGTGAAATCACTGTTTCTGCCATTATTCTTGCAATTTTTTGCCATACAGCATGCTACTAAATAAATAAATTTATATATAAATAGGAGAAACTTTTTACCATACTGGTTAAACAATATTTTTTGCAACATATACACAAGTACACTGGTACAGTCAACAAAATCCACAATAATCCAATAAAATAACAGAAGCACACTAACAAAAGAAGAATTTTTAAACACTGACCAAAGTACTTTACACTATAATCCACAATAATAAAGAACAAAACCAAACAACTATTACAAATCCGCATATAAAACATCACAATAATTGCAAACAATGAAATTGTAAACAATAAAAATGGCGACTAACGTTTGAATGTATACTAGGTTGCCTAATTTTGTGATTTTTAACATGCGCGAATAAAGATCGAACAGACCTTGTTGTGTGGATTGTGATACAAACCAAGTTTGATTTTTCTTGTTTGTTTTTTTTTTGAGGAAATTTCAAACAATTTAAATAAATCGAGTTTATATTAAAATTTTATAAATCAAAGTGTCAAATAAAACGAAAGTTATGCTAATATAGCCACGAATATGTTTTTTTGCAACCCTCTAGAATATTTTTATTGAATTAAAATTTTTATTTATCCTTTTGGATTAATTATTATAATCATAATATTCAGCGTCTGAAATTCACTTTTGTCTCGATTTCAGTGTACTGATAGCACCCATAAAAATTTGGAAATTTTCAGAAAAATTTACTTTGGCATTTTTTTCGTATAATAAAATTAATAAAATTTTTCTGAAAATTTCCCAATTTTTTGGGTTTTTTTTGCCGGCTCAATTTTTCCGAAAATTTTAAATACATAGTCAGCCTTCTTTTGCTTAATACTAGCAGCAACAACTATAATCATTGAATGGGTGAAAACTGCCATTTAGGTTATTTGGTTACAAAGAGAAAAAACACATTTTTCAGAAAATTTTATTCTTGATTAAAGGTTTTGCTAGACTTCAAACCCCCTGAATATAAGACACATCATTTTTATTGTCTATGGATAATTTGCAATTTTGATTTTTCTGAAAATTTCGGATTGAATTTTTTTTATAAAAATCATTTTTGGTCAGTTAGCTTGGAACATGTCAAACTTGAGAAATGACAAATGACAAAAATTGTTCAGTTCAAAATTTTTGGAAAAATCAAAAATCACTATAGACAATAAACATAAAATACTTTTTCTTTTGGAGTTTTCTCAAAAGCACCCTTTATAACCAATGCAGACCTTGAGATTAAATGAGCGCATAAAAACGTAAAAATTGCCTTGCAGGGCACGAAAAGTCCATGGAAAAGTTGAAGGAGAAGATCGACGCGAAACGCGAGCAAATCAGCGACGGCGAGCGTCAAGTGAAGGACGCGCAGCGCGACGCCAAGCACGGCAGCGTCAAAGAGAAGACCATCTACGAGAAGAAGAAGAAAACGCTGGCGCGGCTCAAGGACCAGCTGGCCAAGCTCGAGATCCAGGAGACGGACCGCGACGAGAACAAGACGATCGCGCTGGGCACCTCGAAGCTGAACTACCTCGACCCGCGGATCAGCGTCGCCTGGTGCAAGAAGTACGACGTGCCCATCGAGAAGATCTACAACAAGACGCAGCGCGACAAGTTCCGGTGGGCCATCGACATGGCCGGCCCCGACTACCGCTTCTAATTCGGTGAGTCGCGGATTCATTTTATCGCATCGACAGACCCAGTAGAACGTTTTTAGTTGTCAATTAATTATTATCCATTGCAAGTAAGTTTAAATTATTTATGAGAAATTTTAAATCTGATGTTTTGTGCAATTATGAGGATCTGCACGATACAAACAATGATATGTAACGTCTTAAATAAAGTGCATCATTTATTATATAATCGCATTAGTTGTACGCTATACATGCATACATATAGAGAGTCTTTTTTAAAGTGTTTATTTTTGTGTAAAGCCTTCATTTTACATCGTCTCGTCTGGTTTGTGTAATTTTTGACCAAACACCACTCCAAGTTTATTCGTCGCACTCGTGCGAAATTTATTCAATGTAGCAGTCTGTATATTACAGATTTCATAAGAAATAAAGAGAATACCTGTATGAAATCGCCCTTTATTTAGCAACAAACAAATTTAACCCTTTTCACCAAAAAATAACGAAAAGTTTTATTAGGTAAGTACAGAAAACAAATATAATAGTATATTATTACACGAGACATAATGCAAGCTATTATTCACGAGGATAAGGTTCATCCGATTGAACAATGCGCATATTCTCGAGTGCTTCATTGAGAAGATAACCAAATGATTTTCAAAAATAAAATCTGACATCTGTCAAACGATTAATTAACCTTACTTTTTACCAATTTAAAATATAGTCGCCTTCTCCCAATCTAAAACCCGATTGGTTCAAATCTCAGTGAACATTGAAATGGGCCAATCACTGATGCCTGACAACGCGAATAATGAGCTCATTATTCCCGTTGTTACGCAGGAAATATATAATGTTTATCATTACACAGTGTATCCCGGGATGGACCTGACTATACTTGTAAACTTTCTTATTTTGCATTTTAGTATAAAAATTAATTCTTCATAAAGTTTGGCTTATTCTGTAAATTCCATAGCCATCCTAAAAATTTCGAAATAACATGCAAGGTGGTTAAAAAAACAAAAAACGTATTATCAAGTCAACAATGATTGCACATTTTCTTGTTTTATAACCAACCTGTATATTATTTCTAATCCGGTGAGTTGCCTTCCGAGAGGACTTTCGCGGATTCATTTTATCGCATCGACAGACCCAGTAGAACGTTTTTAGTTGTCAATTAATTATTATCCATTACAAGTAAGTTTAAATTATTTATGAGAAATTTTAAATCTGATGTTTTGTGCAATTATGAGGATCTGCACGATACAAACAATGATATATAACGTCGTAAATAAAGTGCATCATTTATTATATAATCGCATTAGTTGTACACTATACATGCATACATATAGAGAGTCTTTTTTAAAGTGTTTATTTTTGTGTAAAGCCTTCATTTTACATCGTCTCGTCTGGTTTGTGTAATTTTTGACCAAACACCACTCCAAGTTTATTCGTCGCACTCGTGCGAAATTTATTCAATGTAGCAGTCTGTATATTACAGATTTCATAAGAAATAAAGAGAATACCTGTATGAAATCGCCCTTTATTTAGCAACAAACAAATTTAACCCTTTTTACCAAAAAATAACGAAAAGTTTTAATAGGTAAGTAAAAAAACAAATATAATAGTATATTATTACACGAGACATAATGCAAGCTATTATTCACGAGGATAAGGTTCATCCGATTGAACAATGCGCATATTCTCGAGTGCTTCATTGAGAAGATAACCAAATGATTTTCAAAAATAAAATCTGACATCTGTCAAACGATTAATTAACCTTACTTTTTACCAATTTAAAATATAGTCGCCTTCTCCCAATCTAAAACCCGATTGGTTCAAATCTCAGTGAACATTGAAATGGGCCAATCACTGATGCCTGACAACGTGAATAATGGCTCATTATTCCCGTTGTTATTCAGGAAATTTATAATGTTTATCATTACACAGTGTATCCCTGAATGGACCTGACTATACTTGTAAACTTTCTTATTTTGCATTTTAGTAGAAAACGTAATTCTTCATAAAAAGTTTAGCCAATTCTGTAAATTCCATAGCCATCCTAAAAATTTCGAAATAACATACAGGGTGGTTAAAATAACAAAAAACGTATTATCAAGTCAAGAATGATTGCACATTTTCTTGTTTTATATCCAACCTGTATGTAATTTCTAATTCGGTGAGTCGCCTTCCGAGAGGACTTTCGCGGATTTATTTTATCGCATCGACAGACCCAGTAGAACGTTTTTAGTTGTCAATTAATTATTATCCATTACAAGTAAGTTTAAATTATTTATGAGAAATTTTAAATCTGATGTTTTGTGCAATTATGAGGATCTGCACGATACAAACAATGATATGTAACGTCTTAAATAAAGTGCATCATTTATTATATAATCGCATTAGTTGTACACTATACATGCATACATATAGAGAGTCTTTTTTAAAGTGTTTATTTTTGTGTAAAGCCTTCATTTTACATCGTCTCGTCTGGTTTGTGTAATTTTTGACCAAACACCACTCCAAGTTTATTCGTCGCACTCGTGCGAAATTTATTCAATGTAGCAGTCTGTATATTACAGATTTCATAAGAAATAAAGAGAATACCTGTATGAAATCGCCCTTTATTTAGCAACAAACAAATTTAACCCTTTTTACCAAAAAATAACGAAAAATTTTAATAGGTAAGTACAGAAAACAAATATAATAGTATATTATTACACGAGACATAATGCAGGCATTATTCACGAGGATGAGGTTCATCCGATTGAACAATGCGCATATTCTCGACTGCTTCACGAGAAGATACCTAAATGATTTTCAAAAATAAAATGTGACATCTGTCAAACGATTAATTAACGTTTCTTTTTACCAATTTTAAATATATTCGCCTTCTCCCAATTTAAAACCCGATTGGTTCAAATCTCAGTGAACATTGAAATGGGCCAATCACTGATGCCTGACAACGTGAATAATGGCTCATTATTCCCGTTGTTATGCAGGAAATTTATAATGTTTATCATTACTTACAGTGTATTCCTGGATAGACCTGACTATACTTGTAAACTTTCTTATTTTGCATTTTAGTACAAAAATTAATTCTTCATATAGTTTGCCTTATTCTGTATATTCCATAGCCTTCCTAAAAATTTCGAAATAACATATAGTTAAAAAACAAGATTAAAGTACCTGTTTTTTTAAACAATACTTATATGTAGGTGTGTTTGTTGTTAAGATAAGAACGCATACCTACAGTATAAAAGACTAGTTCACTGATTAATAATCAATTTAGTCGAATCATACACGCACACTGGGTTGCCTATATTAGGGACAATAATGATATTTGCGTAAAAACAGAATTCTGTAAATACAGTTATTTTAAAAGATATCAACGAAATTCGTTGAACGAATTTGTATTTTAGTTCAATTGATTTGCTTATTTGGGTGATTCAATCTTTCAGGTCTTTAAAACTAGTTCTTTTACGAACTACCGCCAATACAAAATCAATTGGTGTTTGAAACTTTTAGTTTAAACAGGGTTGCCAGTGCCAGTGCTTTTGTACTGAAATCAGTACTTTTCGAGGTTTGTCAGTACGTCAGTGCTACTTTTATAGTTTCAGTACTTTTTGCGAAATTTCCTTCCCAAAAAAACAAAATTGAATATAATCATACAATTTGTTTGAAAGATTTGTGAAATCTTGGTTGCCTATTTTGGATGCTTTTCTTTCGCTGCTGCCAACCCTTGCCTTACAGCGTTGCCGGCTGCGGTGTTACTTGTTTTCTTGGGGTTTGTTCTATTATTTCATACCAAAGGTTTCGGTGTTGCCAACTTACCAAGTAGAGCGGTGGCGCCACAATTAAAAAGCGACCTGGCAACACAGCCTGGATTTGACAGTTAATGTTATAATTTAAAACTTAAAAGTGACGGTAGGTACCGGATTCAATTCCCGGTCACAGCCTTGGGTGTTGTTTTTCGAGCATAAAAATATATAATAATGAGCTGGCTAAATAGTCGAAAAGATTAAAAGTCAATAGACCTTAAAAAAACCAAAAACTTAAAAGTGTATATAGGCTTAAAAGTAAAGAATCATCTAAATTAAATATTATATACATCTATATAGTATAATTTAGTTTATATATATATAGCAGTGTTACCAGATTCTGTCAAAAAAAGACCGTACGTTTCGTTCGAATTTACCTTAATTACAAAAATGACTCAATGAACAATATTAAGTAACGTCAACTTGACATAATTGCATTTATTTGCATTGTTTCATTGTGTCATTTTGTAATTAAGGTAAATTCGAACGAAACGTACGGTCCTTTTTTGACAGAATCTGGTAACACTGATATATAGTATAATTTAGTTTAGTGCGTTGCAGGCCGTTGTGTGTTGTGATTATGTTTTAAGTAGGTATAGGTATGGTATTGTTATGTATTTCTTATGCTTATTCTAAGTTAGAATTTCTAACGGTCATTATGAACCCACAGTTAAGCATGATTTATAGATTGCCTTCCTTCCTTCCTCCCGTAGAAGATGAACAGTACAAAAACCGTTGTGCAGTTTAAAGATTCCTGTACTATAAATGGCACTACGATTTTCGTATTGTTCATCTTTTACGGGAGGAAGGAAGGAAGGCAATCTATAAATCAGGCTTTATACTTTAAGTATGTGGTTGCAACGCCCCCACCCGCCATTATGGGCGATGAACGTGTACTACAATAAGAAACGAGGTGTACGTCAAAATATTAACATCTTGTATTTTTTTGAAAACAGTACTTTTTTATTAAAATCAGTACGTTTTTCATTCCAAATCAGTACGGAAATTTTTCGTGCTCTGGCAACGCTGAGTTTAAATCAGTTACTATTTGCAAACTTCGAACTTAAAAGTAATCCTTAAAATATTTATATTTTATTGCTTAACACCGGGACAGCGCGTACGCAGTCCCGACTACCAAAAATTATGCGCCCGAGTTATCCGCATTAGGGATAATCGCAAGGGTCAGCCCGACCGTAGTGCAATGGACAGGCCTCGCCTCGGAGGAACCGCCTTATTGATCAAGGTTGACCTCTACGCCAGGTAAGTATGCTTTTTGCAGCCCAGCCTCTCCCTTATATTACCCGAACAGTCGTTCACAGCGGTGAGATGCAATGACAAGCATGCGCGATGGGTTGTTTGACTCATGGCATCAAAATGTACTAGTTGGACGCCTAAATCAAACAAAACAAACAAATGGAGGGGTAAGAAGCAAAAGGGCGTTTAAGCATGAAAAGTCTAAATTAAAAAAAAAATCTCATAACGTGAAAATTGTTTGATTCTGCATGTTAATTAATGCTAACAATATTCTTTGTGAAAAGTACGTTTAAAAACCGGTCAATTGAAAAAACCGGACAATTTTGCAAAATTAACTCGAACGTGTTTGCCATTTGTTATAGAGCAGTGTGTTTGCGAACT